ACCATGAGCAGAGGAGGGTGTCACCCCTAGGTAGGAAAAGCAGAAACTTAAGTGCCATCAACTCATGACAACCCCTGTGATGCCAACCACCTGCTCTCTTTCTCTGTAAACCAAAGACGGGTTTCTTTCATGATCAAACTCTAGTTTGGGTTTTCAAAGACCTGCAACTCAACTCAATTTCCACCATGGAAAATGATGGAGAATGATTTTTCAGGTCAGGGCTTTTTTTGTTTGTTTTTTTTTGGTCACAACCAGCAGTGCTCAGGGCTTGCTCCTGGCTCTGCACTCAAGGATCACTTCTTGTTGGGGCTCAGGGGACCATATGATATGCTGGGGATCAAACCTGGGTGAGTCATGTTGAAGGTAATTGCCTTACCAGTTGTACTATCGGTCCAGCCCCACCCCAGGTTAATATGAGTGAAGCTCTGATGGTAGTAGGAAAACACATTTTTACTTTCAGTTCTGCCTCAGTACCCCCTACAGACAGATTGCCGTTGACAGACATCAAGAGCTTTCGTTTTCAAAGCGTGGTTGTTGGATTGATGGTGGTGGCAGCAGCAGCAGCAGCTGGAAACACATTAAAGATGCAAATTTTCAGCTCTCTTCCCTAGATGCATTGAATCAGCGATCTGTTTTAATAACACTGAAGGTGATTCTGGGATTCTAAAGCCTTAAAAATCAGTGATGTGTAAAGAAATGCAGAGAAATAGAGCTGGAGCTCTGATAAGACTTAAACAATGCCTCGGACGTTTCCAGTTCTGTAAGCAAACGAATCCCCTTTCTGTTATGTTAAAAGTAGTTTTGAGTGGCAATCATGTTTGGTCTATAGTCTACTTTCAGCATGCTTCTCCCATCCTGAGAGGAACCTCCCAACACCCTTTATTTGGTGCTCCCTTCTCTATCTGAGCTCCCTTTTCCCCTGGGATGGGGAGGATGGGAGGGTGGGAGGGATACTGGGACCCATGGTGGTGGAAAATGGGCACTGGTAGAGGGATGGGTACTTGATCATTGTATAACTGAAACCCAAGCACAAAAATTTGTAAGTCTACAACTGTACCTCAAGATGTTTCACTAATAAAAATAAAAAGAAAAACAGTAGTTTTGAGCTGAGGCTTTTGTTACTCGCACCTGAAAACATCTTCACTGTTGCAGCCTCACGAGCCCTATCCAGGCTGGGAACAAATTACTGTCCGGAAGTATTTTGTTTATTTGCAGTTGAGTGACAGATGTGAGTAGTAATGACATCAGTAGCACCTGTTCCGGAGTCAGAAATGAGTCTTGATTAGATGCGTTAAAGACTTAGCCAAGCAAGATTTCCAGCTATTTCTCTAAATGTGCAAAATCTTGGTTTTTGCCTGGAGATGTAAAAATCTCCCTCCCTCTCAGAAAAGCACACACGTAGGCATGAGTTTCCAGAACTCCCTGATCTTGCTGCCACCTTCTGTTCTGCTCCCCGTCACACCTCCCGGGACCGTCCCCCACCCCAAGATCACATCTACCTAGTTTCACATATTCCCCTTCCCAGACCCGAATGGCGTCCACCTGCTCATCCCCCCTCTGGAGAGCAGCCCCCTACCCCAGGTGCTTAGATGACTGAGCAGACGACTCAAAGCGCTGTTCCTCCCAGCAAGGAGGGGATGGGGCTGGGTTTCTGGTGGCCAGACCATGCTGGGATGGGAAAATCTGGCCCCGAAGTAACAGAAGAATGTCTGGTATCTCACGGAGCAAGGAGGCAAGCACACAGCAGGGTGCCTGAAAACCCATGGTCCAGGGCCAGCCACTGCTTGCAGAGCCCTTGCTGCACCCAGTCTTTACATTGCCACCATGACACACCTCAAACTAGCTTTTTTTAAAAAAAAATTTCTTGTTTTGTGTTTTGGTTTCAATTATACAATAATCAAATACCCATCCCTCCATCAGTGCCCATTTTCCAACATTATGGATCCCAGTATCCCTCCCACCACCATCCCCCCCATCCCACCCTGCCTCTGTGGCAGGGCATTCCCTTTTGTTCTCTCTCTCCTTTACACCTCAAACTAGCTTTAACCAGAGGAAGGGAAATGACTCAACTGAGACTCCCAGGCTGGATTTCAGGCATAGATGGAACAAAGTGGGTTAAATCTCTACATATCCTGATGCCCTTTCCTCTGTTGGACACGTCTCACACAGGCTCTCCACGTGGCAGTTCAGGAGGGGATGCCATCAGACTTAGATATGCTTAAGTATGTCAGAATTCGTGATTCCAGAGGAGTCTGGCTCAATTTCACCAGCCTGCTGCTTGGCCGATTTAAGTCGTATGCCCAGCCCCGAAGCACTCACTGAAAGCAGGTAAACAAGAATTCTGATTAATCTGGGCTAGCCACGTGATTGTTATGAAAACAGAGAGGTGGTGGAAGGGAGATTAGAGCTCTCCTAAATCAGGAGAGGACTGAGTAGGATTACCACAAAATTGTGTGTGTGGGGTGGGGTGGGGAGGGGTGGGGGTGAGGAAATGGCTCCATAAAAGTGCAAGTAATGCTTTACTACAATATAGTCCTCAGCTCCCCACCTTTCTTTACATTTGAGAATTTTGTCCCTGGAAAACACCTGGTAGCACTCAAGGTTTTCTCAGTGCTCAAGGGTCACTCCTAGGGGTCATCCAGAGGATTAAACTGAGGCCGACTGCATGGAAGGCAAGTGCCTTATTCCTGTACAATCTCTCAGCCCTTCTTCTGAATAATTTTTGCAAGTGCTCTTAATGTGTATACATACAGATGCCTGTGTGTGAATATGTGTACGCATGCACATGCGCGCGCACGAATGTAGGCTGTATATCACTGAGATACTTTCAACTGCAAGTAACAGAAAGCCTAAACCAAATAAACACTGCTTGATAAATAAAAACACTTACCTATGTATCTCAGCATTTTCCACCCTTCACCCCATCTTGGAGGGGAAGTTAATGTCCAGGAAAAGGAAATAGTAGAGCACAGTCACAAAACCAATTTCCAAATAAAAAGCCCCTTTCCACTAGTGAGGACAAGTTTATTGGTAAGTGGACCTGCAGAGAAGTACTAGGAAGTACTTCTGAGACTATGGCTGCCTCCTGGCTCTCTTTTGGAAAGTTCTTCTAGTCGAATAGAGTGTGCAGAGGGTCCAATCTCTGCAGAAAAGAGGGGTTTGCTGCCATGGGGAAATGGCTTTGTTGGATGACTAAGCTTTACCCCAATTCCATTCCAGGCTCAAAGGGCAGCTTTAGTAGTTGACATTATATCCACATCAACTGCTCAAACCAAATCAATTTCTGCCCCAAGCTGGCATATGTATTATTCCTCGGTCTTATGTTGGGATTTGTGTTTGCACCAGTCCTTGGCCCATTACACACTGCCTCTCAGTCATGTCCTGATTTCTCAGGGCTGCAAATGTCTCCCCAGTTGCTCCTCGGTAGTGTCTTCCCCAAGGACCCCAGGCTTCTTGGCTCATTTCTATTTTAGACTCCAGGGGCATTTTCTTCTGGTCAGGTGACTGGAGCATTTGCCATACAGTCTCAGGCAGGCCTTTATTGCCCTCTCAGGAATTCCTCTGTAGGTCGGGTACTGTTAAACCCTGGAAGGGGCTGGAGCTGCTTGGGAAACATTTGCCACATGACACCATAATTCTTAGGCTCATAAAACATGCTTAGACATTAGATAAAAAGCATATGAGTGCTCATTTCTTCAGGAAGACCCCATGAGACAAGAAATCTTTCAACTAACTACAGACTACCAGGCACCAGGGACCCTAAGAACAGGAGCTAGGTGGGTGGGGGTGGTTGGTAGGGGTGGTGGTGGTCAGGGGTCAGTATTGTCAAGGAACCAGATGACCCTGCAGCCAGGGCACTGCAGAAGCTTCTCCGGCTGCCTGAGCCATGTGGCACAAGAGCAGGATGCTTGACCTACCATACCCCCAACTTCAGATTATCCGCGTTCAGTCCTTCATCGTGCAGCTCGTTCTCCTGTTTTCTTTCCTTTCTCCCAGTCTGCATCCCCAGTCCATGCTGTTTCCACTAATGCTGCTGAAACAGAAGCCCAGCTGTCTCCCCAACCAGTGCTCACAGAAGAAACAATTTCCTCAGAGTGGCCAAAGGAAGACAGCAGCCAACAGTAAGGAGGGTTTGAGAAAACATCCATCAGGTAACACAGGGTTTTCGTAAGAACTTTATTTCTGAAAAACGGGGTGGGAGGGAAAGAATCCAAAGTATTAAAATAATCTTCTATTTTTATTTTGAGGAAGAGGATGATAAAATAATTCATATAAAAATTTTCAAGCATAATTACAGTAGCTATTTCACCCTGAAACTCAAACTCCCTGAAGCTCCGGGTTCCACTGAGTGACAGGTAGGGCCCACGCCCTGGAACCACGTGGGTGAGAAGCTTATTTACTCCACAAATATATGCCAAAGGTCAATTTTCTCAGTGAAAATGATTCCGTCTTTTTTTGTTGTTGTTTTGTTTTGTGATTGTTTCTGATGAGATTGTTGAAAGGAAGAGCGACTTTTTCCTTCTTGAAGAAGACTATGAGGGCGGGAATGACGGGCTCCAGGATTGACCAAATGCCAAGGGAGACGTGATTTTTATACAGAGGAGCTAACTGGTATAAAAGGGGCTGCCATGGAGTTCATGCCCCATTCAATCAGCTTAATCAATGGCTGAACAAATAGCAGTACTCCTACATTATTAAAAAAGAAAAAAAAAAGGAGCTGTGATTTTCCAACTGTAGGAGAAACAAGACTCTTCTGTTTCTACCACCAGTAGGAACTGGATAGAGTGCGACAAAATCCCTACACTTAGCAAGAATTTTCTAACTGAAAAAAGAAAAAAGAAAAAAGAAAAAAAAAAAGGCGAGCTGGCAGGCACGCAGGACTCAGGAGCCAAGCCTGCCACCGTCACCATCAAACAGAGCCCCGACGCTGTGTCTAGCGCACTCCCCCGTAGGCAGACCCGAGTCCCCGGCTCACCCCTGGCTCTCAAGTGTCCCTGTGGAGGCTGCTGCGGAACATTCGGGGTCTTCTGGGTTTCTCGGAAGGCTCTCAGTTGGTGTTTCTCTGGGGAACCGGGAGGTTCTCGTGAAGGTATTTCAGACTCCCATGCTCCGAGAAATCTGAGACCACGTGGTCCTGCCCTCGCAGTAGCCACTTGGTTGTGAGAAGCCCTTCCAGTCCAACGGGGCCCCGGGCGTGGATTCGAGATGTGCTGATTCCCACTTCAGCTCCTGCAAAAAAGGTGCGATGAGGCTGTGGCTACCTCCCGTGCCTGTGTCCTGCCCGCCAAACTGGCCCACAGGTCTTTGTTCCCTTCATGTGGACCATCTCTCCCTGCCCACTTCTCATGCATCCTCCCCAGGCCAGTCTGACTGCTGTTATCTCCATTATCTCTCAGGCTGCAATATGTCTTTAAGGAATTGTATAGTGCCGGGGATTGAACCTAGGACCTCTGCATGTCACAAGTCCCTTCTTTGTGAAATATTTGGGCTTCTTTTTGGCACTTTCTTCCCAATGCAGTGTGGTCTGTATCTAAACTGCCTATCAGAATTTGACACTTAAGCATTCTGTGAGGCATATGATAAAGTTTTACATGGAGATCTCACTTCTCTAAATACTAAATCCTAGAAAGTAAGGGAATTTTAGCATCTGCAGAATTCTTAGCCTGTAGGCACTCCTTAGACCAGTCCCTATACTGGTGCCTGTATGCAGGTGTAGGAAGGTTGAAGCCCTGGTCTCCTGCCTTGGTTGTGATTGCTAGTGCCTGGGCGGGCTCATAGGTCAGGTGCTGTTCTGCAGGTATGGAGAACCAGGAGGTTCTCCTGCTGCTGCACTGGGAAGCCAGTGAGCACAGGAAAGGGCACTGCTGACCACCCACCCCTGCCTGCTTCAGGCCTCAAGGTGGAACATCAGGCATGCCCCAGGGTTCAGCACTGCACAGAGGGGAGGCAGGGATCCTCCCCATCACAGCCCCCGGCTCCTACTACAGGTCAGTCACCAAGCTGGGCCCTGGAGACCAAGCAGTGAATAACTCACGCAGGATCCTCTTTTTGTGGTGCTCAGATTTTTTGTGGAAAAGGCAGCTGCATCAAGTAAAGCAGTTCCACAAAAGTTTCCCGAGGGGATGAAGTGCCCTGCTGGGGTGCTGTGGAAGATGTGTGGGTAGGCGGATTCCACACAGACGGGGTGGTCAGGGGCAGCGTTTCTGTGTGTGTCTGTCTCCCACCAACATGTGCGCTGTGAGGAGGAGCAGGTGCAGAGGCCACGGTGGAGTTCCTGAGATGGGATGTGCATGGTCAGTGGGGGTCGGGGAAGCAGCCCCACAGAGTTGGCCTCTGGGAGCATTCTGGGACCACGTGTCAACTAACTTCCTCTCAAGTGTCAAGGGAAATGGAAACAAAAGCACCTATTATACTGAACTAGGTGAGGACATGCACAAGAGGCACTTAGTGCTGTGCTGGGAACTAGGGAAATACCCAGCCCCTGTCACATGTCCTTGACACGATACAAGAACCAACTTGAGTGCGTGTGAGCAGCTGTGCAGAGACAGCAACTCTCACTGAGGAGCAACTAAGGCCCTCAGCCCTTGAGTCTGCTGTTAATTCTTCTACAAAGGTCAATGCCAGCAATGTGACAATGAACTCCAAATCTCAATGCAAGAGACACATAGAATAAAAATATAGCATCTTTTGCCAAAGAGCAACTGAGTAAAATTCCCTGTAAATGCCTTTCATAATTTAGTGAAAACTACTTCCTCAGGCAAATCATCTCTTCCAAAGTTCAGAGGGATTAAAATTTTTGTTTTGGGATTACTCAAGGATCACTCCTGATGGGTGTAGGGATAATATGGGATGCTGGGGATCAAACCCAGGTTAGTCCTGTGCAAGGCAAGCGCCTTATCTGGTGTAGTATCTCTCTGGCCCCCAGGATTAAGATGTTTTAAACGGATCAGATAATTCTCAGACATGTTGTCCAAGTTCTACTGGAGCTTCTTTCAATGGTTCCTGTTTATACCCTGCAGAAGAGTGGCAGGAAGACATCCCTGCTGGCTCACAATGTTCAGGGAAAGCAGGTATCTCACTGATGCTTTTTTTTTTTTCAAAATTGGGTTTAGAATTAAACCTTGCCTCTGGGGGGCTCACCTGCTGTTTTTTTTGTTTCTTTGTTTGGGAATATTAGGAAAATACCCGGTACCCAGTCCTCCGACTGGGTGTTCAAGGGCTATGCCTGGTTCTCTGCTCAAGAGCTGTACCTGAGTCCTGATTACATGGTAGCAGAAATTGAGCCCGGGCAACCAGCCTGTCCGCTCTCTCTCAGACCCTACCTGTTCACTTTTGAAGAGACACTGAAGCTCAGCATATTGGTACCTCAATCGTCTTATATCCTGTCGTCTTGGGGATTCCCAGTCCTATGTTCTTGTCCACTGAGGGCAAACTGACCCTGGTTGTATGTCTCTGAACAAAAACATCTGCAACGGCAATGCCCAAGGAACTGCAGCCTGTACATGTGTCATGGCCTGTGGAACTGTGCATGAAAGCGTGGTGTGGCCTGTCCATGCCACAGGAGGACACCCCAGCTTGAAGGCGTGCTATGGCCTATCTATACCACAGGGGGAACCCCCCAGTTTTGGACTTGCGCAGATGTGGGTGTGAAATTCGGCTGCGTGACCCTGGGAAAGTGACCTCACTTCTTTGAACCTTGGTCTGTGCATCCCTGACAGGGGAAACACAAAATGGCCTTCTCTGCCCGTGACATGCAGAGACCCTCTGCACAAACATGGTGCTGCTCCCTCAACTCACAGGTAGCCACCTCCCTCTCACACTCCAACTCTAGTCTCTTTATCAGGCGTGTATGCCAGGGAGGTGCCCTTAGCACCCTCACCATACTCCTGGGACGGACGGACGGACAGACAGACAGACAGACAGACAGACAGACAGACAGACAGGCACGCGCACGCACACACACACACACACACACACACACACACACACACACACACAGTGACTCTAGAGGCCCTTTCTCCCTTGCGCAGTCCCCCTTACCTAGCCCGAAGCGATAGCCATCAGAAAAGCGCGTGCTCGCGTTCCAGAACACACAGGCACTATCCACGTGCTGGAGGAAGAACTCCGCTGTCTTTTCTGCAGTACAAAGAGAAGCAGCCGAGTCAGCAACACTCATGTGCTTTGGGGCCGGAGACACAGGGCATCAAGGTTAAGGAGTTTGCCTTGCACAGGGCCCACCTGGATTCAATCTCTGGCAACCCACATTGCGCCCCAAGCAGCGCCAGGAGTGATCCTTGAGCACAGAGCCAGGAATAAACCCTGGACATCTCTGGGTGTGGCCCCAAACCAAAACCAACAAACAATATACATGTGTTTCTAGCGCCTCTCTGGTGACTGAGGGGGCTGGGCTCAGGCTCCTGGGACTGGTGAGGAAACCCTGAGAACGATGAGGGGGCTTCACCCGTGACTGCTGTGTACGTGCATCTTCCTGGAAAGACCTGGTGTGAATCCCGTGCTCCTGAAACAGATAGACCCTCGCTGCTTCCAGGCCTGCTCGCTCCTAACAGAGTCTGAAGCCAGAGCATTTAAGGCTCAGCGCCACCCACACAGGCCAGCAGGGTGCGCTCCAATAGGTTTCCGAAACCTGCTGGGCCTGAGTGAAATGCAGACCCGCACCACCTCACCAGGGTCGAGAAGAGAATAAAGCGAATGGTTCTCACAAGAAGTTAGAACCTAGGAGACACCCAGAAAGCGGCTGAAATGGCTGCTATTATTATTGGCGGGGGTCGGTGCCCTCTCCCAGTGGACTGACATGGTGCGAGGGGCCATACATATGGGCATCTCTTACTACTGGACTCCAGTGCCCGATCCCTAAGTACATCTCTTAGCACCCAACTGCACAGAGCCTGGAACCAGCTGCTTTCTCTCAGGCCCCAGTTTCTTCAGGTGTAACACGAGTTTGGTCCAACAACAGCTAGATGCCGACGCATGGATTCAATGACAAGGCCTCTCCCGTGTCTCCCCCAATAGGGCCAGTGTGACAGTACAACAGAAAGCACCCCAGAGCCAGCCGACGCCACCACCAGCTGGCATCCTCAGGCATCTGTCCGAGGTAAGTTTCCCTTGGGCCATCTGGAAGACCCAAGGAGACAAAGCAGCTACCTTGTGCTTGAAGAGGCTGGACACTGACCGTTCTCTGTAACGATGACGTCTGTGTGGGAGCTGCCATACTTGTGGATGTGGTCGATAGCCTCTTGGACACTGTCCACCACTTCAATGCACATTTCCAGATCCCCATACTCGATCCTGAGGGACTTCACTTCGGAGGGGCTGAAGGTTAAGTAGGAGGCAAACTTGGGGCCTGCATGAATTTTTACCTGGAACAAAAGCAGTCCAGGTGATGAGGGAAACTCTAGAGAGCAACAAACTCCTACCTTTCACTCTGGGATCAGACAGCAAGAGGACCTGATGAATGAAGAGCACATGGCTCATGCAAGCTGAACAATTAGAACTGGCCCTGATTTCTTCCAGCGCTCTGCTTTTGAACATGTTACCTGGCCACCTTCCAGCAATAGTCTTTAACTATCAAGGGAACAAGAGGTCACTAAATGTAAAGAACGGTCAAGACCTTGGGCTGACACGATAGCATAGCAGGTAGGGCATTTGCCTTGCGCGCGGCTGACCCAGGTTTGTTTCCCAGCATCCCATATGGTGCCCCGAGGACCGCCAGGAGTAATTTCTGAGTGCATGAGCCAGGAGTAACCCCTGTGCAATGCCAGGTGTGACCCAAAAAGGAAAAAAAAAAAAAGAATGGTCAAGTCCTTTCTAGGCTACTGACACAGGCTCCTGATGCTGGCATCTCACCAACTGAACACTGGCGTAAGACAGAGAGAGGAGATGCCGCACCTACTTCTACTCCTTTACTCTTTTTGGAAAGTGCCAGAAGTGTTTAGAGGTGAATAGTATTAGTACTAGGTCAACCGCCACCTCAGACTGTGGTTCCTTTCTGATTTCGGACCTCCAGAAGACAGGGTATGTCTTATACATCTGTTTGTGCTGAGCACAGCACCCAGTCCTGGGCAGATAACCAAAAGCACAGCTTCTGAAATTGCCCTCATTGGCCTAGCAGCTGCCCCTGGTCTAAGCCCATGGACTTCTCCGTCTCAAAATGGAACAGGAAGTGAGGACCATGTCCTGGAGACCCATCTTACCTGTTCCACTCTCAGCATATCAATGATCTGGTCAAATAAAGGCGTCCGCAGCAGGTCTCGGTGGATTAAGAGAGTCTCTAGAGCATTGCAGGCGGCAGGATACTCACATTTGGAGTCTCTGACTGAAAGGACAAAGAACTGGCTCAATCAACACAATCCAGAGCCAGGGAGGGAGGCTCTCGACAACACAGAGGGGTCTGCGTCCAGCTCACCGAGTCTGGTGACTTTGTCAACACTGGCCTCAGAGTCCACATACATGTGGCAGATGCCTTCGCTGTGCCCCATCACTGGAATGCCCTTCGCCGCTTTCTGGATGTCTCTGACCAGCTGTGAGGAGCCACGTGGGATGATGAGATCAATCATTTTGTCAAGGCGGCAGAGGTCTTCCACTTCTTCTCGGGTATTCACCTGGAGAGGAAGAGATGGAAAGGCTGCTGAGAGCATCTTCGGAAGATGGCATAGATGGAAGGAGTTGTGTCTCCTGGACAGAGAAACAAGCCGCACCTCTGGAAACCCACACCGGGCATTGTGAAAACTCACACCACAAAAAAAGACTAAAGTCCTGGCAAGACCTGAGAAATCATCCAGCAAACGATGATAGAAATACTCCACATCAGGGCTGGGCACAGTTCTCAGTGGCGACGGCATTGTGCATCACATGTAGGAGACCTGGGTTCAGCCGTTGGCCCCGAAATGAACCACTGCATATTATTTTTATTTTTTTGCTTTTTGGATCATACCCGGTGATGCACAGGAGTTACTCCTGGCTCTGCATTCAGGAATTACCCATGGCAGTGCTCGGGGGGCCATATGGAATGCTGGGAATCAAACCCAGGTCGGCCATGTACAAGGCAAATGCCCTACCCACTGTGCTATCACTCCAGCCTCACCACGGAATATTAGGTGCTGTACTCCAAACGACAAAACATGCAGCACAGCGAATATCCCAGTACTCAGAGTCTAACCGAGAAGGCAGGATTAGAACACAACTGACCATAACATACATGGTAGATTTTTTTATTTAAATTTTTTTTATTTTGGGCCACACCCGGCAATGCTCAGGGGTTACTCCTGTCTATGCACTCAGGAATCACTCCTGGTGGGGCTTGGGAGACCATATGGGATGCCAAGGACTGAACCTGGGTCGGCCATGTGCAAATCAAGCACCCTACCCACTGTATTATCGTTCTGGCCCCAAGGCATGTTATTTTTAAGATGCTGGAAGATGTACCCAGTACCAGTACCATCTATAGACATTCGAGCAGGTGCAAGTCATGCAAGCTGGGGGCCCCGAAGGCAGTGTCGGCCCGGGGGGTGGGGGGTCTCTGGTCTGAGCCTGAAGAACATTCTAGTCTTGGGAGGGAATCCTGGTGGCCAAGACTTCTGCTGCCAACTTGTTCCCTGAGATGCTGCTGGGATGACTAAAGCTTTGCGATTGGAACACTGAGAGATTAGAAACTTTTGGTTTCTCTTCCTGATTTTTAATTATTTCCCCATCTGGTTGTGTTACTTACAATAGAAATACAAACATACATGAACAACAACGTCCATAGTCACTTTATATGCATAGGCCCCAAACTGAAAACCACCCATATGTCTGTCAACAACAGGAAAGATAAACTAGCTTCATGCCCGGTCGTGTGCTATTAGACAATATCAGTAAAGAAAACTAATCCCCAGCATTGCCATGCCCAAGCACAAAGCCATCAGGTTCATTCCCAATAAGCAAAGTATTGCTAGGTCCAAGTGCTGCTGGGGCATTCCCCAACCCCCCCAAAAAATGTTAGATGGAACAGTGGGGATGAAGCTCATGGACATGTTTGTCAACAAAAATACAACAATGGCGGGGCTGGAACAATGGCACAATGGGTAGGGTGTTTGCCTTGAAGGCGGCTGACCTGGGTTCGATTCCCAGCATCCCATATGGTCCCCTGAGCATCGCCAGGAGTAATTCCTGAGTGCAGAGCCAGGAGTAACCCCTGTGCATTGCCAGGTGTGACCCAAAAAGCAAAAAAAAAAAAATACAACAACATAGAGTACATGGTGTATGATTCCATTTATTAGGAGTTGGGGAGTGTAGAAAAGGTAGCAAATGTGCAAGAGGTAAGAAAAATAGTCACAGGGCAGGAGAAATAGCTCAGCAGACTGGGTGTGTGTCTTGCATGCAACCGATCCAGGATCAGTTCCAAAGCCTTGCCAGTGATGCCTGAGTTTGGGGCCAGGAGTGAGCCCTGAGCACCACTGGGTGTGGCTCCCAAAGTGAAAAATGAATCAGTAGTCACCTTGGATCGGGAGATGGCTCCAAGGGGAGGGAGCATAGCAGGCAGCTGGCACGCACAAGGCATCGAACTGATCTGGCACTGCATGGCCAGCAGGCCTGAGCACCAAACCATCAGGCTGGGAAAATCAGGTCAAGTATCACCAGGAGTGGCCCCCACTGAAAAAAAGTAGTCATGGAACCAAGAGAGAGTGAAGTGGGTACGGCACCTCAAATGGGGGCCCCCAGCACTGCCAGAAGTGATCATTGAGCACAGAGCCAGGAATAAGCCATGAACACCACCATGTGTGGTGCAAAAGAAAAGAAGGGGGTGAAAAAAGTACTTTGTGAAGGGGGAAGGACAGGAAATTCCAGCTACTACTTTCTAATTCAAAAACTCTATTTGAGAGTTGAGAAAACTGAGGTGATAGTAGAAACAGTAACCATGATGATGGTGTTAACAGAATAAACCATCACACTCACATGGTGTGTGATGGTTTATGGAATCTTTCGTGGAATTTTTCTCACGGCGTGACTTGTTTCAAATCACTGTCAGTTAAGCATAACCCAGGTCTGCTCTTCCTGCTGCCACATGATGCGAATAATGAAGGGCTAGCAGGCATTCGTGCAGATCAGGAGTGTCAAGAAAGAAAACTCTGCTCCCAACCTCAGAGAGGCCGTCTCAAGCCACGTGGGCCACAGAAAACCCTGGCACTGTGCCCAGCAGCAGGTACACAGGACCTGCCCCACTCTGCCCGAGCTCCCCGCTTAGTGGCTTGGCCTTTAGTGCTCCTTGAGAGAGTTCTGCTCCAAACACCCAAAAGACCCATCCTGGCCACTCTGGACCGTGCCCAGCACCTACCAGCTGGACAGCATCCCTGACTCCGTGGATCGAGAGGGCCTCCTGGGCCAGGAAGTGAAGAATCCGGTTACTGTGCGAGGCTTCCTTCCCTCCTTTGAGTAACAAGCCGTTACCACTTGCAATAGCCAAGGCTGCCACCTGCAGATCAACAAAAGCAGAGCACCAAAAGGACCCAGAGTCACTATCAGACAATTGGGCTGCTTCCATACCCTGGCTTCTATACTAAGGGCTGTGATGAACACAGGTATGCATGTGTCTTTCCTAATGAGTGCTTTTATGTTGAGGGGTAGGGCTCATCGGTGGCACAGTGGTGAGGTGTCTGAACTGCTGAGAGCACAGGGCCCAAGTTACAATAATCAAACTTCAACACGTGTCTATCAAGGAGACAGGCTGGGAGATGAGAGGGAACCTCGGGTTGTTGGTGGAGGGATGTGGTTACAGGCAGTGGGATTGGAGTTGGGAATATTGTATGTCTGCAACTCTATTGTCAGCAAATCTGTGAATCGCCATGTGTAAAATTAAATAAATAAGTAAGTAAATAAATAAATAAGTGGGATTGGAGAGAATCCTGCAGGCAGGGTGCTTGCCTGGTGCTTGCCTGGCACAAGGCTGACTCAGATTTGGGTTTGATACCAGCACCTCACATGGCCCTCTCCAAGCATCACCAGGAACGATCCCTGAGCAAGAAAGCCCTGAGCACCACGTGTGGCCCCCAAACAAACAACAACAGGGTAATAGCATTCCTGAGCACTGTTTCTGAATTAACCATTTTGTAGGCCGATTCTGTTTAATCCTTGCATAATTTCAGTGAACTAAGTACTCATTTCATCTCCTAAATGAAAGACTAAAGACTATATTAAAGACTAGAGAGGTGACTCTCCAGGGTCACACGACTTGCACGTGGCAGGGAGCCTGATTTAAACAACTCAAACACCCAGAGCTTAGGAACACAACTACAGGGCTGTCTTAGCTCTGTGAGCAAAGTAAGCAGAGGCAAGTGAACCCACTTACACACACAGCCACCTTCCACCTGGGCCACAGTGGGGCCCTGCCCTCAACTGCCTCCTGACTCAGATGCTCTGGCCATCTGACTCAGAGTCGCTACAGGTGGCACCCTGGGCCCTGCATTTGCATGACAAGGTTGGTGTTTGTTCTTTGTGCTTTAAATGCCTACTGCTGAGAACCTGCAAAAGACTGGGGCTCCCACTAGTCCCTGGGCACCCAAGGCTGAGAGCAAAAGCCTGCTTGGGAGGAAGGTACCTTAGCCCCTTTAGAGCAAAGACTTAAACCATTCCAAGTCTGAAGCTCCAATTCAGAAAGCTCTTGGGATAAAGGAATCTCTTTCAGCTCTTCAGTGTAGGACTGTGAAAGAAACTTTCAAAACAAAACAAAACAAAAATGAATCTTACCAGGGCTGGAGCGATAGCACAGCGGTAGGGTGTTTGCCTTGCACGCAGCCAAGATGGCCGACCCGAGTTCGATTACTCCGCCCCTCTCGGAGAGCCCGGCAAGCTACCGAGAGGATCTCGCCCGCAGGGCAGAGTCTGGCAAGCTCCCCGTGATGTATTCGATGTGCCAGACACAGTAACAACAAAGTCTCCAATGGAGACGTTACTGGGCCCGCTCGAGCAAATCGATGATCAACGGGAGGGCCTTTACTTTTACCAGGATCCGTTAACCTCCAAATTAGTGGCTTTTAATCCTTTAAGAGTTGGGTTTTAATTGTTCACAGATCCCTTTTGAAAGTGATGTAAATTTTCTCCAGAAATATGTACACACAGAATGCTGCATTCGTCTTTTAGGATTCATGGATTCTGTGATCCATCCAGGGTTGTGATTCTAACCGAGGAACCTCAGTTGTCACTGGCTAAAGAGGAAACCTTTCTCCTTGGGAAGCATATCTGATGGTGGGTCAAGTATAGCCGCGGCACTTCAGCCGCACCATCCCCAGGGTCTTGGAGGATGCACTTCCACCCTGCAGTTCTCACTGGGTTATCCTACACAGAGCCAGAAGGGCCAGCACCAGCCGGGGTCTGTGGGTAGGCAGACTCAGCATAGGAGAGTCTCTCGGTGAACAACTTAGTTTAGGTCTGGTCACAGAGTATCCTCTAGGGAACAAACACTCTGGACCCCTGAGTCACCTATACCCACAGAAAAAGGATAATAATTATTTATTTTTTTAAAAAGAGAATTCTCTTTGAGACTTTGGAGTGCAAATAAAGACCTGGAATCACCCTACCCAGAGTTCTAGGAGGGAATTAGGAGCTACCCTCGACCACCCACCCACCAGGGAACGGTTGTCTGGGGAAGCCAGGTGGTTCCTCAGCATCACTTAGGCTATAGGAAGTGTCTCATGGAGGGCTATGTTCTAGTCTTAGTTTTCTAGTTTTCTCTTAAGTCCTGGAAGTTCTTTTCCCTGAGAGACACACCTGTAGGAAGCCCCCTGTGACCCTGATAACAAAGGGCTCTCTTGTCAACATGTGCCAAGATGGATGACATCATGAACCCTTGCAGGCTCTGTGGCCGGGGGGCAGATGCCCCAGTTGGCAGAGACACGAGGAACGTGTCACCTCATCACAGATGGGCATAGCTTCTGGGCCTGAGTCCCAGAGTGCCATCCTCACCCGTGTGACAAGAACACTAACTTCTCTAGGTTTTGGCCTCTTCTATTCTGAAATGGATTAAAAAATATCTATTTTAGAATCTTTAACATAGACACTGAAGAACAAGTCTCAAAAACTGTCCTTGGGGAAAAATCATGACTTTCTCAAGGGAGGGAAAAAAACAAACAAACAGACAAAACCATTTTTGGGAAACTGACCTCCAGTCCTGCAAAACCAATTTTCCCTCTAAGTCACCCTACCCTGGCCCGGTTTTAGTCACGCACCTGGGGCAGACAGTCGGGGCGAGACTCGAAGATCACCAGGAGGACGCCGATGGGGACAGTTACTTGTTCTAGTTCCAAGTTCTTGGCAATTCGGGTCCGACGCAAAACACGCCCCACACTGTCCTGTGAGGAGGCTGCGATCTGCCGCAGGCCAATGGCCAGGCTATTCAGTTTGGATGTGGAGAGGCTCAGGCGCTTCAGCAGAGGAGGTGCCAGTCTCCCTGCAGAGGTTTGGAGAACCCACAATCACGAGGCAGGCGCGAGCAGGTACGGAACACCACACTGGGAACTACAAGTAGCTCGGGGGCCTCGGGGAGATCACATGCCATTTATACCTGGGCAGTTTGGCAGCGTATGTTGTCAAATAAACATGTGCCCCTTTGGGGCAGTTATTTCAGTTCCAGAAACTTCTCATTTACATCAACAAACTGGAATGCAATAAGGATATTTATCACGGCATTCTTACATTAGTGGAATGATTAGATTCTACTGATAAATTGAGACAATGGGCTAAAATGCAGTTAGTATATGTTATTGGTTACAGGTACACATATATGTATTTGCTGATATGCACAGCAAAGCCTGGCAAGCTATCCGTGATGTATTCAATATGCCAAACACAGTAACAACAAGTCTCACAATAGAGACGTTAGGCCCCCTTGAGCAAATCGATGAACAATGGGAGGACAGTGGGCAGGGAACAGTGGAAAGCTATCCGGGATATAGGTTGTGAAAAGGCATATTAAAAATACCGGTATGAAATGATCCTATTTATCAAACATTGCTTATACAGGTAAATAAACTGATGTCTAAAAGGCATCATAAATAGTAATGATTTCCTGGGCTGGAGCAATAGCACAGCAGGTAAGGCATTTGCCTTGCATGCGGCCGACCCAGGTTCAATTCCCAGCATCCCATAAGCCCCCCTGAGCACCGCCAGGAGTTATTCCTGAGTGCATGAACCAGGAGAAACTCCTGTGCATCACTGGGTGTAACCCCCCCAAAAAAAGAAAAAAATAGTAATGATTTCTAGCTTTCTGTATTAATTTTTTATAACAAGTAACTGTTTCTCTTTAATGGGAACCAATATAGATGCTTTCTTTTGTAATAAATTAAATGATAGTAGTTCATGTTATCACATGTATCATGTACCCTGGATTCATGTCTCATAATATGATTACTCTGGTTAATGTTGGAAAGCATTTCCCTTTCTTTTCTCTAGTCACACCCACTAAGATAAAAACTACAGATCTCTTTTAGAGGAGAGGAACCAAACTTACATTAGGAGAAATAAACCATCAGGCGAAGCAATTACATCAATGACATTTCTTTCTTTTTCTCTATGTGCTGAAAATTAAGTTGTTATTTTGTTTCTGGGATGTCAGGGATCGAACACCAGAGTCTCCCGTGTATCGCCTATTTTCTACTAATGAGCCACATCCCTGGCTGACAGAATAAAGTTTTCTCTATAGCACATATTATATGTTATATTCTAGTCTCCCACTGTGCATCTTTTCCAGGATACAAAACTATAATTACTACTAAATAAGGGGGTATTTGCTCGAGCGGGCCCAGTAACGTCTCCATTGGAGACTTTGTTGTTACTGTGTCTGGCATATCGAATACTCTCGGTAGCTTGCCGGGCTCTCCGAGAGGGGCGGAGGAATCGAACTCGGGTTGGCCATGTTGGCCGCTTGTAAGGCGAACGCCCTACCCGTTGTGCTATCGCTCCAGCCGCCAACAGGTCAACCAGTACCTGCGGGGCAAGGGCATCAGCAGCCTGATGGTGCCTTCAGGACACCTCAAAGTTGCCTCTGTGCCTTTGGCCAGATCCCAACAACTTGGGACCAAGTTTACCAAGAAATTACAAAGCCAAAAGTTAGGTACGTGGGAGCCACGTCCACAAACCACCTCCAGCTCTACTATACAAGCTCATTTATTGGCTTATTTCAGAGACCCATAGGTAAATCTCAAAAGAGCTCAAAAGCCACAGTTAAGCTCGGACCCTCACATGGCTGAACCAGCCGGGGTAAATCAGAGGGGGGCTGGTTGGCCTGTGCCCACCTAAGCAGAGCTCCTGGCAGCTGCTTGCTTCCACAATCCCAAACTGCCACCATACCCCCAGCCTGACTCCACCGTCTCAGGACAGACCTCTCCAAGATATAATCTGCTGAAAATTTTGGTATGTGGGTTTTGTGACTGAAATCTCCAGGTTTTCTTGGGGTTAGGACGGGCTACATCCACCCACCTCCCTGTACTTCCAGATGCCTCGGTAGTCACATCCACACCCCAAAGCTGCCACCCAATTGAAAAGCTACTCTAGCCTTACTGTCCTGATAAAAATACTGAATGTCCTGAACAAACACTGTGACCTCTTAGCACCTGTATTGCAAATCATTGTGCATAAAAGGAAAAGGAGAGACAGAACAAGAAGGAAAGTGCCTCCCATAGAGGAAGGCTCAGGATAGGGGGCGGGGTGAAGGGGATGGGGGATGGTGGTGCGGAAACAGGGGACATTGGTGGTGGGAAATATACACTGGTGGATGGAGGGATGCTGGATCGTTGTATGATTGAAACCCAATTATGAACAGCTTTGTAATGTTCTATCTCACAGATATCCAATTTAAAAAAATTAAAAAAAAGTACAGCGGGTAGGGCGTTCACCTTACAAGCGGCCAACATGGCCGACCCGAGTTCGATTCCTCCGCCCCTCTCGGAGAGCCCGGCAAGCTACCGAGAGTATTCGATATGCCAGACACAGTAACAATAAAGTCTCCAATGGAGACGTTACTGGGCCCGCTCAAGCAAATCGACGATCAACGGGAGGGCCTTTACCTTTACCTTAATGTGGAGTACATGCCCAATTCAATCAGCTTGATCAATGGCTAAATAAATAGCAGTACTCCTACATTAAAAATAGATATTACTAAATATGCCAGTGAGCTGAAACAATTTCATGTACCACACACATTATTAGACACCAATGTTTCAAGTTTTCAGTGTCATAATCCTGCTCTAAGAATTCTTATATGCAGAGCTTTTTCCACCTTTAAAAATATTTCTGAGAGGAATGGCTCAGATTAGTACCAGGAATTTTACTCCATGACTTGAAGGCCAACCACACGTGCTAGGTGAAAAGGAAGCTCAGATAGAGAAGAGAGCACCAAATAAAGGGTGTTGTGAAGACCCTCCCAGGGTGGGAGAGACATGCTAAAAGTAGTCTATAGACCAAACATGATTGCCACTCAATGCCTCTCTGGCAAAACACAGTACCCAAAAGAAGAGAGAGAGAACAAGGGGGAATGCCCTGCCACAGCGGCAGGGTGGGACGGGGGGGGGGGGTATGGGGGGGAGGGATGCTAGGACCTGTGGTGGGGGAGGATGGGCACTGGTGGAGGGATGGGTACTTGATCACTGTATAACTGAAACCCAAGCACAAAAATTTATAAGTCTATAAATGTACTTCACGGTGTTTCACTAATAAAAAAATTAAAAATAAATTAAAAATAAATTATAATATATACATTAAAAAAATATTTCTGAGAACATATTTCCTGAAAAGGCTTACTAAGTAAGTCAAAGGGGATTAAAAGCTCAGGTCTATCCAGCATCTAGATCTTACGTCACTGAATTTCCAGAGAGAAAGCTGGGATCAGAAGTGAGAGTAGTGTTAATAACTAGAGGTGCTGCTTTGACTAAGAGTTTTATCCTCTTAAAGGTACTGATTCTGTGGCTCTAAGTGAAATAACTGGCTAAAATACTGTCAAATCTATTTCTAAAAATCTACTTGATGACTTGTCAGTCCTGCAAAAATTCAAAAACCTAGTGGGAAATTTCCAGAGCTGTGGTTCAACAATATTTTAAAGAATGAAAATAATATTGATGAGTCACACCGGGGTTCTTTGAAGGGAACACCACTGACGGGGCCATTGTGGGCACATTTCTTCTCTCTCACACACTTGTGTGCAATCCTTGGGCAGGGCCCATGTAAACCTTCTCTGTGTCTCATTCCAGTTTTAGTAGATCTGCCACTGAAGCAAACACATTTATTCCAGGGAGGGGAGAAGGAAATCTAAAGCTTCCAAAGCCCATTATTTTAGGGTAAAAAGACAGAAGGTGAAAACGGGAGAGAGAGTGAGGGCGAGCCCCTGGCATATATGGTTGCCCACACAGGGAGGCTGGTCAGTGGTCTCAACCAGTGTACCTCAGGTACTTCCAGGGCATCTCTGGGTGGCACCTGTTGCTAATTCTGAGTGGACCACACTTCAGATAATTAATGAAGAGATAAGCTAACTTTCATCACAGGTGCCACTATTTCTATAGCAGTTTTGCATGCCCCATCCACCTGGGTTTGAGTATCAGTTTCTGTCACAGTTCATGTGGCTTTAGGCATAGGACAACTTGTCTGTTTCACTTCTTTCCTCTGTAAAAGGGGGACAATACAGAGTCTTTGTGTTGCAAAGACTAAACGAAATCCTGGCCATAAAGCCCCAAGCACAATGCCTGTCAACAGAGAGAGACCTCAATCACCTGAGCTTCTGGTAGCTGAATGTCCAAAGCCATGGGCAGGGTTCTCAATCTTTCTCCTTTTCCTAAAACTGTCACACCAGGCACGACTCATGATTGTTGCAGAACGGAGGAGGGCCCTTTGAGGTCCTTACTAGAGTGTTTGGGAAAGGGGATAGAGGCAGTAAGTGTAGTCTGAAAAAGCTTAATGAATATGGACTCCTCCTCTCAAGGAAAATAAAGCCTCGTACACTAGGTTTTCTATAGTACTGTTCAGGCTGACTAAAAACTGTGAGTGAAACAAATAGCCAGTTACATGACCCTCTGGAACAGGGACTCGAAGGTGCCTTTACCCTCTGCCTCCTCCAGGTCTTTTTTGTTGGCTAACAGGATCTCATCACGCTGGTCCGTCAACAGATCAGCCAGATGATGGATGATTTCTGCTCTCTAGGAAGAAAGGTGAATCGTTAAGCAAAATGATCATCCAAGAAGACTGCTCCTCAGCCCAAGGTGAGCCCTGAAATCTCCTTCCTTCCATTTCCCACCCTTGCTCCCCTCCCTTCCCCCTTCCCCTCTCATGGCAGATCGCTCCTCCACTCCCATTTCTTACTTTCCTTTCTCTTGACCTGAATTGACCTGAATTTGATCTCTGGCACCACATATGGTCCCCTGAACCCCAACAGGAGTGATCCCTGAGCACAGATCCAGGAGTAAGCTGGGTGTGGCTTCTGGGTGTGACTCAGACCACACACCCCTGCAAAAAAAAGAGAAAAAAAATTATTTTTTTGGTGGGGGGTACTCCTGGCAAGTTTGGAGGAATCGTGTGGGATGTTGGGGATCAAACCCAGTTTGGCCACAGGTAAGGCAAGTGCCCTATATACTATAATATCACTCCAGCCTCCAAGAAAGAAAATCTAGCACAGCGGGTAGGGCATTTGGCTTGCATGCAGCTGACCCGGGTGCGATTCCCAGCATCGATTATTAGGATTCGCAAACCCTGGCCCAAAAGCGTGGTGGAGAGAGGCGGTAAACTGCCTGATTTGTCACGAGGTAAAGACTGGCTGGCATTTAGTCCCACATATTCCATATTGCCAGCCATCACCTTTAACTCTCAGGCAGATTTCTGCTTTTTGTTTTCTTTTTATTTTTGACATTTATTTAATAAATTCAGTCAACAGGGGAAAACCCAGTCCTAGATGCTTAAAGATTCCAATCATGATCCACCAAGATTAGGAAATGAGAAAACCAATGTGAGATTTCTGAAGGCGTGAAAAGAGAAAAGCTCACTCCCACTTGCTTTTCTGTCTCAACCTGCAATTATTTAAATTTTTTTTTTCTTTTTGAGTCACACCCGGCGATGCAAAGGGGTTACTCCTGGCTCAGCACTCAGGAACTATTCCTGGCGGAGCTCGGGGGACCATATGAGATGCTGGGAATCGCACCCGGGTCAGCTGCATGCAAGCCAAATGCCCTACCCGCTGTGCTAGATTTTCTTTCTTGGAGGCCGGAGTGATATTATAGTAGATAGGGCACTTGCCTTACACGTGGCCAAACTGGGTTTGATCCCCAACATCCCACACGATTCCTCCAAACTTGCCAGGAGTACCCCCCACCAAAAAAATAATTTTTTTTCTCTTTTTTGCAGGGGTGTGTGGTCTGAGTCACACCCAGAAGCCACACCCAGCTTACTCCTGGATCTGTGCTCAGGGATCACTCCTGTTGGGGTTCAGGGGACCATATGTGGTGCCAGAGATCAAATTCAGGTCCACAGTGTGCAAAGCAAATAAATGCTTTCCCCACTGTACTATCTCTTTGGTCTCCCACTGTACTCTTTGGTCCTCTTCTCCTTTTTCAGACCAAAGATCTCCCCCAGAGGAAACTAATAAACATTTCTCCCCAAATTACTTTGAATGACACAATCCTTGGAAAGACTCCCCCGGCTAAGCCTCCTCGCATTAACAGCTCACTGCTCACTACTTGGACTAAGTTACTGTGGACAAGACAGGGTTCAGACAACAAAGCAGGAACTTAGGCGAATTAGGTGATACTGAATGGTAATTTTCCTACACCTCCATGCCCCATACATGGCAGGATTAGAGTTCCCTGGTTTCATAGTTTCCATGTTTCTGACCAAAACATCACTGTTTTAGGCCTCATCCCATAAAAGAGAAACAAAAAAAAAAAAGAGAAAGGGAATAGGCAAAATAAATCCAGGTAAGAAGGGCAGCTCAACTAACTGTGGGAACTGAGGTATTAAGAGGGATTTGCCAGGTCTGACTCTGCACTACCCTGAGAGCATGACTGTTTCTGCAAACAAATAAAATTATCGAGAGATACAGCCAACCCCCTCACTGATGGAAGCCAAGAGAAGGTCTGAGTGCCCCAGAAATTACAACTGTCTGGTTGATGCTGCTTCCATTTCTAGGTGTGTGTTGGTCCAAATCACAGAAACAGAACCGAAGGACCTCTGAACTTTCTTGCTTATGCAGAAGACACCACTGAAAAGTCACAGGACTTATGTGGCATGAAGTCAAATCAGAGACCACTCACCACAGAACGAGGAAATCAAGTGCCACAGATTTTCTCAGAGGGAAAGAGGACTGGCGGGGGTAAGGGGCTCCCAAACCCTAGTTCTTTTAATAGCATCATAGCAATATTTTCAGTCACTCTTTTCTAGGGTCTTAAACTCCATGAAAGAAAATGGAACTATCTTAAAAATTAAAGAATAAAAATATTAAATATGTAACAGCTACTCCATGACAGGCACTCTTCTAAATCCTTGTCATAAATAGTGAACTCATTTAATCCTTAAAGTCAGTGCTTACCACACACTACTTCTGTCTTATTATTTATGAACAGCTTCCTAATAATTTTTATCAAGTGGAACGAAGGCCTATTCTTTCAACTGAAGAACTAAAATGTATTTTTATGCTGAAACGTAACTGCTTAAGATCTCCCGTTGTTCATCGATTTGCTCAAGTGGGCCCAGTAACATCTCCATTATGAGACTTCTTGTTACTGTGTTTGGCATATCAAATACGTCACGGATAGCTTGCCAGGCTTTGCCATGCAGGCAAGATACTTAAGATCATTTGAGAAAAACATGCAGTAGAAGTAAAGAAAACATGGGGCTGGAGTGAGACTATAGCGGGTAGGGTGCTTGACTTGTGTACAGCTGACCTGGGTTCAATCCTCAGCACCCCATAAGATCCCCTGAGCACTGCCAGGAATTATCCCTGAGTGCAGTGCCAGAATTATCCCTGAGCACAGCCAGGTGTGGCACAAAAATACAGAAAAGGAAAAAAAGAAGTAAAGAAAACTTAAAACTTAGTTTAAATACCTTTTGTGTTATAAATTCAATAAAGGTATGTTTCTGACTCTACACACAGCTATCTAAGACCTTAAGCAAAGTTTTAAAAGGGTGAGATTGGGGCTGGAGCAATAGCACAGAGGGTAAGGCGTTTGCCTTGCATATAGCCGACCCGGGTTCAATTCCCAGCATCCCATATGGTCCCCTGAGCACCGCCAGGGGTAATTCTTGAGTGCAGAACCAGGAGTAAGCCCTGTGCATCTCCAGGTGTGACCCAAAAAGCAAAATAATTAAATAAAAAATAAAAGGGTGAGATTTTGGTAAAGCAGGTACCTGAATTTTTAAAAATTAAGCAATCTTATACTTTGGACTTTAGAAGAAGGGAAGGGGGAGAAAATACAATCAAAAATATTTTCCTGGGGGCTGGAGCGATAGCACAGCGGGTAGGGCATTTGCCTTGCATGCATCCGACCCGGGTTCGATTTTCAGCATTCCATATGATCCCCTGAGCACTGCCAGGAGTAATCCCTGATCATTGTATGACCGAGAAAAAGAAAAAAAATTATATTTCTGGTCAGTAAAAGGTAAAAAGGTAAAGGCCCTCCCGTTGTTCGTCGATTTGCTCGAGCGGGCCCAGTAACGTCTCCATTGGAGACTTTGTTGTTACTGTGTTTGGCACATCGAATACGTCATGGGGAGCTTGCCAGGCTCTCCGAGAGGGGCAGAGGAATCGCACTCGGGTCGGCCATGTTGGCTGCGTGCAAGGCAAACACTCTACTGCTGTGCTATCGCTCCAGCGATATTTTCTGGTCAGTATTTTTTGTTTTTGGGTCACACCTGGTGGTGCTCAAGGTCTGTAGCCAGCTCTGTGCTGGGGATGGGTCACTCTTCAGGAGGCGCAAATGACCATGCAGAGCCAGGGATTGATCCTAAGCCTCTAGCATGAAAAGCAAGTACTCAGCCCACTGAGCTATTCCTGCTCTGGTGAGTATTTTTCTAAGCATCTGATACTTAAATGAAGAAACCTGGCACAATGACCAGCATGAGCATTACCTTCTCAGGATCCAATGTGGCCAATGTCCTTCCTCCAGACCGAGCCATTTCCCCCTGCTGCTCAACAGTGGGGCCTAGAAGCACATTTGCAAATGTTAGTTCACGGTCAGATTACTTCCCTTCAGAGATGCAACAGTGTCTAGAATACAGTAAATGCTTCACCTATATTCAGAAATCTAAACACATTAGAAAATGTCAACCCAAGTGGAATGGAAAAGAACAAAAAACAGAAGATAAAAGAATATGTGTTCTGCTCAAGTAATAAGAGGTAAGCTCTTGCATTCATGCCCGAGCTCATTTGGTCCATCATTTGCCTTTATCAGACAGAGTGACTGTAAAACAAGCACACCGAGACCCACCACATTCACTCTACAGTGTCCCTCTTTATGCTTTTCTGCATCTCTCTGTCTTTATTAGAATCTGGCATCCAGCACAGGTACTAATCATCTAGAAAATGCAAATAAAAAAAATGAGATAACACACCAGGGAGACTGGCACTCATCTAAAAGAATAATAACCACCAGTGCTGGTGTGGATGCAGGAGGAAAAAGGAGCATCATGCTGGACTGTCGATTGGTCTAGCCCTTTTGGAAGATGATATGGGCATTTCCCCACCCCCCAAAAAATAACTTCATAATTGAGCTTCCATATAAGCTAGCTATTCCACTTCTGTAATATACCCCATGGACACAAAAACACAATGCAGAAAAGATATCTGCACTTCTATGTTCACTGAAGCACTGTTCACTATAATCCCTAAGTTAGTGATTTTGAAGAGAATAGGAGGCTGGGTTAGGCATATTAAATAGAATTTTACAAAAGTAATGCAAAATCCTACTGTAAGTGATGTTCAAAATAATGCTGCATCTCATAATATACCACAATTCTGTGAGCTTGAGAGAGAGAGAGAGAGAGAGAGAGAGAGAGAGAGAGCTATCTGATGTCTTCAGTCTGATGACAGCCATGATGTCACTGACTCTCATTCACAGGCCAGTGGATTTGGTGAAGAATTACATACCTGCAGGCTTTACTTCAGAAAAGAAGGTGCCAACTTTCTTTCCCTCAACAATGTCTGTGATGACGTGCCCAGACACCTTCGGGTGGGTCCCATTGGCAATAACCACAGAAGTGCCACCTTGCAAAGCCCAGAGGGCTGCTTTCACCTATTAGAGAGGTTAAATCTGACGATGAGATACAAACTTTTGCAGTAAACTTACAAATACATCTAAAATACAATGTGATTCTGAGCAACTTCAGAACACGCACAAATGTTTTAATCAGTGCAGAATCTGAAAACATGCTTGGTCCATGTACTTGTTCAATGACCCAACTGACCTTTCATGCCTAGTGAGGTCTCTTTCTCTAAGCCTTCCTAGTACTGGCCACTGTCACTGTTCTCCCGTTGTTCAATGATTTGCTCGAGTGGGCCCAGTAACATTGTGAGACTTATTGTTACTGTGTTTGACATATCGAATACACTACAGGGAGCTTGCCAGGCTTTACTGTGCCGGCGGAGTATTCTTGGTAGCTTGCCAGTCTCTCCAAGAGGAGTGGAGGAATAGAACCTAGGTCGGCCATACTTTTAAAATTTTTTTCTTTAAACTGAATCACCATGAGCTACATTTACAAAGCTTTCATGATTTTCAGTCATACAATGATCGAATACCCATCCCTCCACCAGTGTACATTTTCTACCACCAATGTCCCTCCACCCCCACCCCTGTCCTACCCCTCCCCATGCCTCTATGGCAGACAATTTCCCTCTTACTCTCTCTTTCTGCTTTTACATTTTGAGCAGGATAAAATTGCAGCCTCACAATACATAATCTTGTAAACCAATGTTACTTCAATTGAAAATAAACATTTGAGCTGGCAATTATGAAAACTATATAGACACTGCTCACTATATAGACACTGCTCATAAAGGCATATGATATTGACACAATATATGATATTCAAAAGAATCTATGTGAATTATTAAATATAGTACACAATAGCATTAAACAAGTAGACACATAGGTAAATGGGCATATATCAGTGTGCATAGGCCAAGGATCTGAATTATTAGTGCCCCCACCCCAAACATTTGCCAAAATACAAATGATGGAATACTGCCTTGCTTCTGTAACTGTTACAGGCAGTGAAGGCACAGATTTTTACCTTGGCTTCCATGCCACCCATTCCCACTCTTGATTTGGTTCCAAATGTGACAGACTGTTGGTCTCCAGGATAAAATATATCAATGAGCTTTGCATCATCTGTCCCTGGTGGGCTGTCAAAGAGGCCTGGAAAGCAGAAAAGAGTCGATAATGCTCCTTTGCTGGAAGTGAGTGTAAGTAGCTCACAAGATACATATTCCAGGCACCTGCCAACCACTCTGGACTTTAACCATCCCGATCTGCTCTTCCACCAGCTCTATTCAGAAAAAGGAGTGAGGGATCAGGGGAGTTCACCACACTGAAAAACAGCCCAAGAAGAGTGACCTTGCAGATTCCTATAACCTGGCTTATTAATAAAGGGACCTTTTGCCAGCAACAGAGCTTGGCCCTTATGTCCAGCACAGATTTTATTGGTCTTGCCCACAGTCCTCCCTGAGATGCTCGTTTCAAGTTTGCCATTGCTACTTACAATGCTGGGCCGTTAGGATGCAAATGAAAAAACAAATTAGGGCAGCATATAACTGCTGTTAAATGTGACTTTCTTTCCAAGCACGATGATACGTGAACATCTCGATAAGTCTCACGACTTCCCTTGGAACAGCCACAAATTATACTCCCAAGTTGTAGGTGAGCCCCAGTAAAGGTCAGGCTGAGTCATCAGGAGCATGCCTGAGTCTGGATGTTCTGTCCGACTTTATCACCCCAACCACGTGCCCCTTTTATATCTTAGCATAATGACATTAGAGCTAGAGGAAATGTTACAGGCAAACAATCCAAGATGAAACAAAAAATCCTCACTCTTTCTTTGAAAGAGAACAAGTTGGAGTCTCAGAAGGAAGGAAGGGGATGAGAAAAATGAAGTCAACTCAAGGGACTGGGGAGACAGACGGGGAGGAGCTGCTGTGGCTTGGGACAGGCTGAATGTTTTTAGGCAGAGATATCTGGACACTTTGGGCAGAGATGTTTTGGGTTTCAGCTATGCTTTTCCAGGGCCACAGGATACCTGCTCTGCATTACTCCAAAGTGTTAACATAACCCTCTCCAGGACAGCGAGGGAGAAAACCAGTGCCCTGTGAGAACACAACATCATGAACCAGGAGCAGCAATGACAGGGAGGGCGAGAAGAATCCTTCACCATCCATACTTGAATGTTGTACTCCAGAGCCCCCAGGAATTGTGTCCTTAGAGGGACAGGGCTATAAAATCATGTACTTGAATTTTGAGGCGGTGTGTGTGTCATAGGGCATAGTATAGGTAAGTTGATTCAAATCTAAGCAAAACCTTCTCCGGAGACTTCAAAGGGACACTAGCATTCTGACATTCAGTGTACTCATCTTTTCCAAAAGGCACATTTTGAACCCACGTGTTGTTTCAGAAATCACCATTTTCGAAGTACTAAATTGAACTCAGTTAAGAATACAAGTCTGGTGATGACCAATTCTGATGTCTGAGGCAGCACTAAAACTGTTTACTAAGAGTCTAATTTGAACTGGATTTCTCTACACTGATCTCTTGAAATCACACTCTTTATCTGGCCAGTCAGGATAAAGACACAGGTTTAGATTTGAAATTGGCCGCAGCCAAATTGCCAATGATATGACTCTGAATATACCATCTAACTGCTGGGAATTCAATTTTGTATTTCTTCACCCGAATAAATGGGCAAACCTACCTGCTTTCCAGGGATGCTTAATTGACAATAATAAATCACTTAGCATTGCAGACATTCATTAGTATTTGTAAATTAGTTGAGGTACCTTGTTTTCTAGCATGGCTCAATCTAAACTAACCTAGCTGATCCTATCCTGAAATGACAAATTTACCAGGGAGAATCCTGTTACCGAGGCTTCTTATGGGTGAAGACTGACATGACCCTCACAGGCAGAAGAGAGCTCAGTCTATCTTCTGCTCCTGCTTCCCCACGGAAGTCCTCCCTTACCTCGGGCAGCTGGAGTGTTGACTGGAGACTACTGTCAGCCTACTGGGGACTGAATAAGCTTTCCTGAAGGGCTCTGGAGATCTATGAAACAGAACTAGTCTATTTTGGACATAACTACTATGTTCCTTAAGGGACAAACTGTATGATGGGAACAGTTCAACCAAGTGAGGAGAGGGAATGAAGAGCAAAGCTGTCAGCAAGAGAGACCTCTGCACAGAGGAGGGAAAACAACAGAGAGAAATGAGGCATTGAGGGGAGAGGAGATTGGGGAAAAGAGAGAGGGGAGAGAGAGGGGAAGGGGGAGGGGAGGAAAAGGATAGAGGGAGATAGGGAGGGAGGAGGAGACAGAGGAAAGAGAGGAGACAAGAGAGGGGGAGAGAGAGAAAGGGAAAGACGGAGGGGGAGGAAGGGGGAGAGGGAGGGAAGAGAGAGAGAAGAGGAGAGGGGAGAGAGACAGAGAGAGAGACAGAGAGAGAGAACAAAAGTTGAGATGCCTGCCTTGCATAAGGGCAACTCTGACTTACTCCCCAGCACCACATGCCACCCAGAGGATGGCAGGTTTCTGGGTATACAGCCCTGGAGGTCCTGACACTTTCACGGCAGCCTGGGTCATCCCCAGCACCACAGCATCTGAGCAGCTTCACTTCCTCCGGCCCCAAATCAAACAAATGGAAAAGAAATGATGTAATGATAAATGCAAAAATATAGAAAAATTTTTGAGAACATAAAGCTAAGAAGTCTCTCATAAGAATCTCCTACTCTATGATTCAGGTGTTTTGTATTTTTTGTTCTGTTTTGGGCTTTTGGGATGACACCCAGCAATGCACAGGGGCTACTCCTGGCTCTGCACTGACTCGGGAATTACACCTGGTGGTGCTTGAGGGACCATATGGGATGCTGGGAATCGAACCCAAGTTGGCTGCATGCAGCTTACCTGCTGTGCTATTGCTCCAGACCCTCTATGATTCAGTTTTAAATAAAATGTGTTCCATAGAAAAATCAATCATGACAGAGGATACGTTGAAGACTGCCCACAGCTAAAGAAATTAAAAGTGGAGAGTGACTGCTAATGCGCACGAGTGTTCTTGCTGGGGTGATGAAAATACTCTAAAATTGTGGTGAGGGTTGCAGAACTATATAGGAAAAAAATCTAAATTTTAAACTTTAAAGGGATAGGTGTACTATATGTCTTGGGAATTATATCTTACAAGCTGCTTAAAAAAGAAAAAGGAAAGAAAACACCTGGAAATGACAATATTCAACATTCAAATTGCACCTTCCAGCAATGCCCACCTCTTGACTCATTTATACTCTGTTAGACCGTATGACTCAGAAAATAATGGTCTAGCTTGAAAGAAAAAAAATGATCAGCAGGGGGGGAAAAAAAAGGTCAGCAGGTCTCAAAGAACCCGTATTCAGACAAAATGTAGCATTTAATAACCACAGCTGGACAAAAAGAAATGACATTAAGTTGTACCTTCTACATCTGAAAGGACAATCAAGAGGTCAGTCTTCATTTCCACAGCCAGCCGAGCAGCCAGGCTATCATTATCCTTGACGCTAATGACCTGAAATGCAGGTACAAGGCCGTGAGTGAGAGAGCAAATGCAACTTCAAAAGAAGTTAGAGAAACATTCAGCTGGTTCTGGCAGGCAAAGCCAATGGCCCCAAACACGCAGATGACAGGTCTTCCAGACCCCCTGTGTCTGCAAAACACAGCAGAATACAATGCAAAGGGCAAGATCTCCCAAATGCATCCTTCATTCAACTGCTCACATACAGTCATGCTAAACAAGACAGTCATGCGATCAGCCCCATCTGAAACCATGAGAGCACCTCATCCTGTTGAATGAAAATCCCTGACTTCAGAAGAACTTCAGCAGTCGCTGTTTCTCGATGCCAACCACTTTCATGCTTCATGATGCCAGCCACATGATGCCTCCCACTTTCTCCATCGTGCTTATGGCAACTTTCCGGTGTTAGTACATGTAGCAGCACAGTTTGGCATTAGTATCTGCAGCATGCTCAACCCTTAGGAATACTTTACCCACATTTACCCCCTGAAGATCACTATTGGGCTCAGCTGGGGGGACCACAGCATCATTCGTGTTGACAATGGGAACGATGTTCATTCGGAGGAGCTCATGAAGCGTTCCATTGAGGTTCCTGCGCTTCTGCTCATCATGAAAATCCAAATTGGTTACCAAAATCTACAGGGATTAAATAGAAGGCAAACAGGAAGGTGTAAGCATCCCAGGAAGAGCACATAAAAGATGTTAACACAGCAGTTACACTTTAAGCTGAGTCCCTGAGCATAGAGCCACCAGAAGCCCTGAGCACAGCCAGGTATGGCCCCCAAACAAACACACAAAAAAATCTTTGGGCTGTGGGGATCCTATGTACAAAAGAGCACACATATTTGGATGTTTAGAAAAACTTAGAATTACGCGGAAGATTTATTTAAGCATGCTCAAGTCTCCTTGCTTAATGAAGCCAGAGAGATAATATGAGAGCTAGGGCATTGACCTCACATATACTGGCCAAGACCTTAGCACCACAATTGGAGCCCTGAGCACCGCCAATCATTTATGAGCACAGAGCTAGGAATAAATAGTCCCTGAACATCACTGGATGTGGCCAAACAACTTACCATGCCACTCAGAAAAAAAAAATCTAGAACACTATTCCACTTTTTCAAAATTGAATCACTGTGAGATAACAGAGTCACAACGCTGTTCATGGTTGGACTTCAGTCATACAGTGTTTCAACACTCATCCCTCCACCAGTGTAGTACATTTCCCACCACCACTGTCCCCAGTTTCGCTCCCCCCAGCCTATCTCTATGGCTCTCCTCTCTCTCTCTTTCTTTCTCTCTCTCTCTCTCTCTCTCTCTCTCTCTCTCTCTCTCTCTCTATCCTTTTGGGCATTATCGTTTTATCATTTGCAATTCAGATTCTCAGATTCTGGTAAGTTATCATGTTTGTTCCTATACATATTTTCAGCATACAATTCTTATCCAGAGTGATCATTTCCAGCTGTTTTTGTTATGGTGCTCCCTTCTCTATCCCAACTGCCTTCTCCCCCAGAACTTGAGGCAGGCTTCCAACCATGGATCAATCCTCCTGGTCCTTGTTTCTACTGTCTTTAAGTATTAGTCTCATACTAATGTTTTTTTTAAAATATCCCACAAATTAGTCCAATCATTCTATGTCTATCCCTCTTTTTCTGACTCATTTCACTCAGCATGATACTCTCAATGACCATCCATTTATAAGCAAATTTCATAACTTCATTTTTCCTAACAGCTGCATAGTATTCCATTGTGTAGATGTACCATAGTTTCTTTATCTAGACACCTGTTATTGTGCACTCAGGATGTTTCCAGATTTTGGCTGTTGTGAATAGTGCTTCAATGAACATAAAAGTGCATATAGCATTTCTGCTGTGAGTTTTTGGAACCCTGGGGCAAATTCCTGGAAGAGGTATTGCTGGATCGTTAAAAGCTCAATTTCTAGCTTTTTGAAGAATGCTCATATTGTTTTTCAAAAAGGCTGAACCAGTCGGCATTCCCACCAACAATGAAGAAGAGTCCCTTTCTCCCTGTATCCACACCAGCACTGATTGCTCTTGTTCTTTTTGATATTTGCCAATCTCTGTGCTGTAAGATGATGGGAAAACTGGACAGATACATGCAAAAAAAATGAACTCAAACCTCAGATTTGAATGGATAAAAGATCTCAGAATCAGGCCCGAATCCATAAGATACTTGGAGGAAAATGTGGGCAAAACCCCCCATGACATTGAAACTAAAGAAATCTTCAAGAATGAAACACTGATGACCAAGCAAATGGAAGCAAAGGTAAACAAATGGGACTACATTAAACTAAGAAGCTTCTACAACTCAAAAGAATTGGTGAACAAGATACAAAGATAGCCCACAGATTGGGGAAAAAATATTTATGCAATATCTGTCTGATAAAGGATTAATATTCAAGATATATAAGACACTGGTGGAATTTAACAAGAGAAAAAAAAACCCTACCAAAAATTGGGGAGAAGAAATGAACAGAAACTTGCTCAAAGAAGAAATACAAATGGCCACGATACACATGAAAAAAAAAAAGAAAGCTCATATCTCTAATCATCAGGAAGATGTAAATCAAAAGAATAATCAGAACACTACTTTTATTTTCAGACTTAACAAAATTTTACCCATCTATAAAAGGTAAAGGCCCTCCCGTTGATCGTCGATTTGCTCGAGCGGGCCCAGTAACGTCTCCATTGGAGACTTTGTTGTTACTGTGTCTGGCGTATCGAATACTCTCGGTAGCTTGCCGGGCTCTATACCCATCTATAAAACTGAGAAAAATCACTAACTCACTTTAGAAAGTGGGGAATGTAATGACCATCACTGATTTCTAAAGTATCTCAGTGTTCTAGTATGTGACTCAGGGTCTAGGGTAATTGTCTCTGAAACTTTAGGTGAATGAATGGTTTAGTCTACTCAGAAAAGCATTTCAGACAAAATGCAACTGGGCCATGATGTCATGTGCTCCGCAGCTGAAAAAAAACTGAACTTAACAGAGATGATGTTTGAGCAGGCAGGCGGGAATAAAAGCCTGAGCGCTCTATAGGATCGAGTCTTGAGTGACAAGCTGAAAGGATGACTGGCCACAGGTTAGTTGAAGGAATGAGTACCAGCTGCTCAGAGCTGGAGTGCTTGCAGTTCTGCTTCTTCAGAGTTTAGGCAATATTTAATAGGAGAGAAAGGTAAATGGGAAAAATGGCAAGAAACTACTGGTTACAAACCTGGAAGCTCATGAATAGAAGCTTCAGTGAAATCCTTCTAAAATTTAGCAAGGAAATTCTTGCTACACAGACCAGGATAAAGTAGGACAGCCAGAAGGCAGATCCAGTAGGTACTCAAATGGTCATAGTGGGAGTGGGCTCTCTGACCAAAACATCAGAATGGAATGTCCAAGGACAAGTGCCTATCCATATGGGATCAGTTAATATTTTAAAAAGGAGATGAGAGGGGGCCGGAGCAATAGGACAGTGAGTTTGCCTTGCACGTGGTCGACCCGGGTTCAATCCCCAGCAATCCATATGGTCCCCTGAGCACCACAGGAGAGATTCCTGAGTGCATGACAAAAGAAAAACAGGCTAAAACTAAAAGGCAGATAGCTGAATGGGAGAAAATATTTGCAGTCAACACATAATAAAGGGTTGATATCCAAAATATATTAAGCACTCAGAATGATCAACAACAACAAATACAAAAAACCCATCAAAAAGTGGGAAAAGGAGGACTGGAGAGATAGCACAGCAGGTAGGGCGGTTGCCTTGCACGCGGCCAATCCAGGTTCAATTCCCAGCATCCCATATGGTCCCCTGAGCACCGCCAGGAGTAATGCCCGAGTGCAGAGCCAGGAGTAAACCCTGTGCATCGCCAGGTTGATCCAAAAAGAAAAAAAAAGTGGGAAAAGGAAATGAATAGGAATTTCTCTGAGGAAGACCAAGAGATAGTCCCAGGCACATAAAAAATGTTCATCACCACTTATTATCAGGGAAATCCAAAATAAGACAACAATGAGATACCATCTCATACCAGTGAGAATGGCACATATCAAAAATAATGGGGAAAGGCACAAGAGAAATAGTACAGTGGGTAAGCACTTGCCTTACATGCAGTTAACCCATGTTCAATCCCTGACATCCCATGAGGTCCCCTGAGCATTGCCAGGAGGGATTCTTGAGTGTAGTCAGGAGTAACCCCTGACTATTGCTAGGTATGGCTCCAAAACAAAGGAAATAACAGGAACAAACTGTGTTGGCGGGAATGTGGTGAAAAATGAACTCTCATCTACTGCCGGTGAGAATGCTGTCTGGTTTGACCCATATGGAAAACATATGGAGGGTTCTCAATAAACTTAAAATTGAACAGCCATACGACCCAGCAATTCCACTTTTGGGTATTTACCCTCATGAAAGAAAAGAAAAATATTCATTCAAAAGGACATATGCACAGTCCTCAGTACAATAGCTAAGATTTGGAACCAATCTAGACATCTAAAAACAGATCAGTTTGTCATAAAGCTGTGGTATATATACACAGTAGAATACTATATAGCATTAAAGAATGAAATCATGCAATTTGCTGTAACATGGATGGAAGTGGATGATATCATGCTAAAGTAAGCCAGAAGTAAGCCAGAAGAAGAAGAAGGATAAACATAAATGGTATTGCTTATATGTAGTATTTAGAGTAACTGGATAAGGAAAAGCAATGGTTTAAAGGGGGGATGCCTCGATGACCCTTGGTCCCAAAATGTAGCAGGGAGAAAGAAAGATAATGAATGGAAAAGAGACAGATGAGAAGCCACAGGGGGACAACGGTCAAGGTACATCAGTGGTGTTAAGGAATGACAGAGTTAAATCTTCTAACCACAGAGTCAACAACACTGAAATCATGAGGCCCAAACTTAAATAAACAAATTTAGAAAGATGCCTGTTGAGATGGCAGGTGGGGGTGGGGTGGAGATAGGAAAAGGAACCTGAGAACACTGGTAAAGGGAAGATGAAACTGGTGGCAGGATCAGTGATGAAACACTGTACGTCTAAATCCCAACTATGAATAGCTTTCTAAATCACGGTGCTTTCTCGAGATAAAATTTGGAGACAAAAGGTGGGAATGGGTATGTTTTGATACAGGCTCTAGCTATGGTAACTAAGAAGAAAACAGTGGCTTTAATGAAGTGTAAAAGAGAGACAAAAATAGAAACATGGTTCAAGGAAATAATTCACTTGCTTTTTCAAGAAAACAATTATTGTCTCTGAAATATAACTTACAGAAAAGCCAAGCTCTGTATAGGCACTGGGATGGAAAATAAAACTGCAAACTTGGGGAATATGGGATGGGGAACATTTATTTATTTTTGGTTTGGGGCCACATCTAGGAAGTGCTCAGGGGTTACACCTAACTCAAAAAATTATTCCTGGCAGTACTCAGTGGACCCTATCGGGTGCCAAGGATTAAGTCCATGTCAGCCATGTGAAAGGTAAGCGCCCTACCCTCTGTGCTATCTTTTAGGCCCCAAAGGGGGAACATTTTCAAAAAGTATATCATAAACTCCTTTTCAGGGAACTTTACTCCTACAGAAAACAGAACTGGGCCCAAAGTGAACACAGAGATTCCAGTCTTGACAATGAAACGTCAGGCACTAAGTAAACACGTGTGTTCCAGGAGCAGCCAGCAAGCAGTATAAAGGTCCAGTGAAATTACCAGTTGCCCAATTTAACAAAAAAGACAAGAGTCTTAAGAGAAAAATGTGCTGACATGCTTAGAGGAGGACAGGCTGTCAAGCTGCAAGTTAATTTTCTAAGAAATTAAACAAGCTGTAAGGGGCAATAGTAGAGAGGGTAAGTCATTTGCCTTGTGTGCAAGCAACCTGGGTTCAGTCCTCAGCACACAATATTGTCCACCAAGTCCACCAGGAGTGATCCCTGAGCACAGAGCCAGGAGAAAGCCCTGAGTATTGCTGGGTATGGTCCCCAAAAAGCTGTTGTACTTTTATTTATTTTTTTTTTTGGAGGAAGGGTCATGGTGGGAAGGGTCGGGCTAGGTGCAGCAATGCTCAAGGCTTATACTCCTCAATCTCTGCTCAGGATTCACTCCTGATGGTCTCAAGGGGACCGTATAATCAAAAATGATCATGAGGCTCAAAAATCCAACTCCCCAGCTACCAAAATTTTGTGTGTAAATGGAAGCAAAGGAGACTGAAAATAACAACTTGGAGACTTAGATTTTTCAGGTCTTTTGCAGTATTAAGTTTACATTTGGTGTATAGTTGACTAAAATATAACTAAACTGAAAAAATTTGGGATATTTAGCACACAAACAGTTTTTAGCATTCAGGGGTAGCAATGTAGCACTGTCCTCCCGTTGTTCATTGATTTGCTTGAGCGGGCACCAGTAACATCTCACAACAAATTGTGAGACTTCTTGTTACTGTGTTTGGCATACCGAATACGTCACGGGGAGCTTGCCAGGCTTTGCCGTGCGGGCGAGATACTCTTGGTAGCTTGCCAGGCTCTCCGAGAGGGGTGGAGGAATCGAACTCGGGTCAGCCATGTTGGCTGCATGCAAGGCAAACGCCCTACCCGCTGTGCTATTGCTCCAGCCCAGCATTCAGGGGTAATCACTTAAAATTTAGGAGTTCCATGAGGACTAGAATGATGACTGATTCATTCACGGCAGTATCCCTAGGGCCTAGCAGACAACTTGGTACATCACAGGTGCTCTGTAAGTATCTGCTAAATAAATGAAAAGCCACCCACCCGGTCACCAGCATTCCTCTTTCTCTTCAATACCAATCCAGGTGGGCTGGAGCAATAGCACAGCGGTAGGGCGTTTGCCTTGCACGCAGCCAACATGGCCGACCCAGTTCTATTCCTCCGCCCCTCTTGGGGAGCCCGGCAAGCTACCAAGAGTATCTCGCCCGCACGGCAAAGCCTGGCAAGCTCCCCGTGACATATTCGATATGCCAAACACAGTAACAAGAAGTCTCAGGATGGAGATGTTACTGGGCCCACTCGAACAAATCGATGAACAACGGGAGGACCGTGACCGTGACCGTGACCGTGACCAATCCAGGTATTTATTACAAGCAAGCAAGTTCGCCAGCTGAACTCAACAAATAAAATGATAACACTACTGTGATGTCTTCAGAAGTATGAGCACTTGCAGTGTCAAAGGAGTCAGCACAGCGGTAGGCATTTGCCTTACGTGCACTGGCTGGCAGAGCCAGGTTCGATTCCTCCGCCCCACTCAGAGAGCCCGGCAAACTACCGAGAGTATCTCGCCCGCACAGCAAAGCCTGGCAAGCTATCCGTGACATATTCGATATGCCAGATACAGTAACAAGTCTCACAATGTTACTGGGCCCACTCGAGCAAATTGATGAACAACAGGAGGACAGTGCTACATACTTATTGGAACATACTGCATACTATGTATCAGACACTGTGCTAAATGCTTTTCATAGGTTTTGCTGTTGTTGTTGTTGTTGTTGTTGCTCTTTGGGGTCACACCTGGAGATGCACATGGGTTACTCCTGGCGGTGCTCGGGGAACCATATGGGATGCTGGGGATCAAACTGGGGTTGGCTGCGTGTAAGGCAAACACTACGCACTGGACTATAGCTCCAGCCCCTCCTGTTGTTTTTCTCATCCATTTCTTTCTGAAAACTCTACAGCAGAGAGTTTCTTTATTATTTCTATTATCTATTTCTATTATCGGTGCTCGGGGAACCATATGGGATGCTGGGGATCAAACTGGGGTTGGCTGCGTGTAAGGCAAACACTACACACTGGACTATAGCTCCAGCCCCTCCTGTTGTTTTTCTCATCCATTTCTTTCTGAAAACTCTACAGCAGAGAGTTTCTTTATTATTTCTATTATCTATTTCTATTATCATCCTCCCCTTTCAGACGAGGTACACACAGGGTCCATTTAAAGACAGACTTTCCCCGGTTCTCCCCCTTGGCAAATGTTACAAGTCAAGGAAACTGTGCCCTGCCAAGCCAGGGTCCCTTGGGGGTTCTACGTACCCGGGTGAAGGCCAGAGTCTCTCACCTGGGCAGCGCAGATGCTGTACTGCGTGAACATGGCTTCATACAGGGCCATCAGCCCACTCTGTCCCGCTGCGGCGCAGGCTCGAGCTTCCAGGACTGGGATGGCCTGTAACACACCAACAGACGAGGGGTGGTTGGGGATGCGGGAGGGAGGTTTCAAAGACCCTTGCCACCAAGAGCGGGGAAGTAGTGCTCACCATTTCTTTCAGCTGGTTCTGCCCCGAGTGCAGTGCCTGCCGTACACTCTGCGACAGAAGAATCTCATGGCGCAAGCGTTGCTTGCCAAAGGCCACAGCGCCACTGGTCACCAGTATCATCTCTCGGCCTTGATTCTGAAGCACGGACACCTGCCAATTGAGGAAGGAAAAAGGCATCACCAGTGAGCGACTCATGGCTTTTTTCTTGTCATGAGAGACTCAGGGAGGGTGAACGAATGAATGAGTGGATCTCAAATGGTGGGTTTTTAAAAAATTTTTTTCACTGAATCACCGTGACATGCACAGTTAGAAAGTTGTTCATGACTGGGTTTCAGTCATATAATATTCCAACACCTGTGCCTTCACCAGTGTACATTTCTCACCACCAATTTCCCTCCCACCCCCGTCACTGCCTGACTCTATGGAAGGCGCTTTTCTTATTTTCCTTCTATCTCTCTCTCTCTCCTCTCCCCCTTTCCTTTGGGCTTGTGGTTTGCAATACAGACAATGCAGTGTTATCAATTATATCCCTTTACCTACTTTCAACACTCAGTTCCTATCCAAAATGATCATTTCCAATGATTATTGTCCAAATGGCGGTTTATAACAGAGAGCACCAGGCTAATTCTGGACAAATTACATACACTAGTTAAAAACGGTTAAAAACAAAACAAAACACAAGCTATCCTATATGTCTTCCACCAAGATGGTAAGTAGCAGGCAGATATCAGACATTGTTAATAAACTGATGTGCAGCCAGGATTGGTACCCACAGAACTGACTTATGGTGTCTACAGGACTACAACCCTGGTTATTCCTGGAAATAAAGTTCAGAAGCTTCTGGAATAAAGAATCACAAGATAAATTTAGTAGATAGCTTCTCAGGTTTCAAGCTGGAGTTGGGGCATGTCTGATTCCTGCTGGTTGCCTGTGTGCCTAGACCAGAAGAGATGCTTGACCCTATTCTACTACAGAACCAGCTGGGGTCACCTTGTCCCCTACCTTGGACAGGTTCCCATGAACAAATCAATAATTCACGGTGCAAATAGTGGAGCTGGAGAGAGAGTACAGCAAGTAAGGCACTTGCCTTCCATGTGGTGAACCCCAATTCAAGTCCTGATCCCTAGCCAAAGAGCCGGGAATAAGCCCTGAGCACAGCAACTCCTCCCCCAACCAAAAAAAAAAAAAGATAAAAGATGTGGATGGTAAATATTCCTAACCCGTCTATGCCTTCTGATGTTCTAATCCTATAATCTGTTTCAGGAATTCATACATAGCTGTGACAATCCACCATTTAACTTTTAAATTATTTATTTTCATTTATTTAGGGTTTTTTGGCCACACCTGGTGATGCCCAGGGGTCACTCCTGGCGACTCCATACTGAGGAATTATCCCTGGTGGTGCTCAGAGGACCATATGGGATGCTGGAGATCAAACCAAGGCTGACTGCAAGTGAGGCAAATGCCCTACCTGCTGTACCATTGCTCGGGCCTCTAATAACTTTTTATCATAGAAAATTTCATTCTTAACCAAAATGGCAAGAAAACTATTATAAATCCCCAGTTACTATCCTCCAGCTTCAACAACTACCAACCATGGTCAAGTTTTCACTAGTACTCTTCCTAGAGATCCTCCATTAATTTAACACAGATTACAGACTCCATACAAATTATTTCATTTGTAAATTTTGCAGCAAACTGCAAAGACATGGAAAGCTTATGTGAAGATCCACAAAACGAAAACCCTTTAAAAATTCTTGAAGTATCAAATATTCAGTTAGCGTTCACATTTCCCCAATTTCTTTTAACTTGCTCAAATTGACCCAAATTTGCACCACACACTGCTACTAACAGAACTGTCTCTTTGAATTCATAGGTTCTCCCTGCCCATCAATTTTACTCCTGCAGTTTTGTTTCATAGAAACTATATTGTCTGTTCTTCAAGACTTCTAGTCTTGATGTCTCTGCTTGAAACCCTGTGGATAGGTTTTTGCAATACGCTATTATTTCCTGTAAACTGCTGTCAGGTAGGAAGGTTTGACTTTGTAAATAATTCTTTGTAAGTGTGGAGTCAGCCAGGGGAGAAATATGCAGGGTTCTTTGTGTTTGTGTCATTAGCAGCAGTTGCTGACCCTTTAAATTGTAGGGGTTTCAGAGTACTGATGTTTTAACTCAGTCATGGCTTCATTTAAAAACTGTAATACATCTATGAAAGAAACTTTCTTTCATTAACTATTAGATCATTCTGAAGTATATAGTTTTATATGAAAGGCAGGACAAATGTGTTATCTTCTCCTTTAATCACTAGCTTTCAAAATGAGTAGGTTCAAAAAAAAAAATGAGTAGGTTCTCTAGTAACCTCAAAAGACCATCAGTGAAAAAAAATTCAATACCAATACATGTCCACATATTTGGACATACCAAGTTTAAATTTATTGTAATAATTTTTACTAACCTTTAGATCGTCTCATCTTTGGTGACTGGTAGCTGAATTCATCTAACACAGCAGCTGTTTTTTACCGGACAATTGACTATACGTAAGTGCTGCCCTAACCTAGAAAGCCCTTTCATGAGGTGCACAGCTGTCCGAGAAGGTGAGCAGGTGACCACTGCAAGGCAAATCATTCCTATATTCTCCCCAGTGTTTTCATCAAGCTTCTTGTCTGCTCAAAAATTTGTTTTGTGATTGAACGTCAATTTTACTACCTGGCTTCAAAACCCTGCTTAATGGAATGGTTATTTTTTGCTGACTTCTTTGATGAAACACCATCACTCACCACCGCCTCCTTGGCCCACCAGCACCCCATACTCATCACTGTCTCTGCCTCCATTCACAGTCCTCTTGTAGAATCTCCATCCCACCCCAGCATATTGCAACAGCGCCAGACGTATGACTAACATCATGTACCGAGCAGGGTGGACTACTTCCCCAGTGGCAAAGCAAATCCTACCCAGGGAAAATGCCCAATTTGAGTACAAGTTCTTCTGGTATAATAACCACCACAGTCACCTGAGTTTCCTATTTCTGGACTCTATCACTGTCATTTGGGCTCGATCAACTGGATACATACAGCCTTTCACAATCACCCTAATTATTGTGGGACTTCTAGCACTGGCTTCCCAAGAGCAGAGATAACAACCCTGTCAAGTCCCTCGTAACACAGGCCTTCGAAAATTGAAAATGTGGGCCAGAGTGACAGTACAGTGGGTAGGGTGTTTGCCTTGCACTCGGCCAACCTGGGTTCGATCCCCAACATCCCATATGATTCCACAAGTGCCGCCAGGAGTAATTCCTGAGTGCAGAGCCAGGGGTAACCCCTGAGCATTGCTGGATGTGACCCAAAAAGCTACACAAAACAAAACAAAATTGAAAGGTCAAAATGGACTCAATCTGGGAGACAGATCTGATAATTGCTTAGTAAGGAAAACATGAAAGGAAACATCGGGTCTGGGGGAGTGTGGGGGGAGGCGAGCACATATTTCTCATGTGTGAAACCCTTGGGTTCAATCTCCAGGATCATCAAAAGAAAGAAAATTCCATCAAGTTTCACATTAGAAGTTTCCTAATACCAACACCTCAAAAATGTCTTTTCTAATTATTTGATTGATTGGTTTGGGACAATACCTGGCACCTGGCAGTGCTTGGGGGCTCTTCAAGGGATCAAGCAGTGCTGGGGATTAAACAAGGGTCAGCAACACAAACAGTAAGCAAGAGTCTTAACTTCTGAACTATCTCTCCAGCCCCTGAAAAGATGTTTGCTTTTTTTTTTTATTTCTTAGCGAAGGAAGAGAGAGGGGCTGCATTTTGGGGCAACCCCTCAGGGTTTACCCCTGGTTCTGTACTCTCTTCCCAGTGATGGAGATCAAATTGGAATTGAAGTTGGCTGAGTGCAAGGCAAGTCCTTTAACCCCTATACAAATCTCTCCAGCCTCAGGAAAATTCTAGGCTTTTTCTTTCCCACTGAAAACAAGGTTGTGGAAGACAAAATTAAGTTACAACTGGAATGAAAAAGCTTTCCCTCTGAGATCACTGGGAGGTCTGTTTTATTTGAATGTTGGTCAGAATTAAAAATGGTAAACTATAGCCTGCAAATCAAACCGACTTGTACCCATACCTGTTTTTTCGTATAAAGCTTTATGGAAAAAAACAGTCACACTCACTCGTGAAGCATAGTTATATACTACCTGTGGCTGCTTCTTGGTTACAATGGTAAAGAGTTGAGACAGCGACCGTATGACTGGCAAAGGCTAAAATATTTATGACCTGACAGAACAAGTCTGCTGATCTTTGTTCTTAGTAAATACAAGGATAGTGGGGCTTAAGATGTGAAGCTAAGTTTGAAACTCCTATGTTGACATCCAAGGTCAGTTTTTTTACTGATAGGATGTGATCATTCTGGTGTGACGCTAGGTCAGTGGGGCATAAAACAAGGTCCCACTGGAGATTTCTTTTTCTTGCTGGTGGGATGGTGCTCAGTGCTCACTCCCGGCAGTGCTGAGGGGACCATGCAATACTGAGGATCAACCCAGGCTTCCTATGTGCAAAGCATGTGCTCCAGTGTGTTTTAAGCTATCTCTTGGGTCCTGTGACCTTGGTTCTGAGTCTTTGCAAAGCCACTATTCCACACACAGACCCTTAGGGGATTCAATCTGGTGAAAAAAATTTGTCCTAGCAGAAAGTAGATAAAGGATCAAACATAATAACCTCTCAATGTCTGTATTACAAACCATAATGCCCAAAAGTTAAGAGAGATTATGGGGAATAATGTCTACCATGAAGGCAAGGGGAGGGTGGGAAAGTGGGGGTATACCAGGGATATTGGTGGTGGGGAATGTGCACTGGTGGAGGGATGGGGTGTTTGATCATTGTGTGATTGGAACCCAAACATGAAAGCCTGTAACTATCTCATGGTGATTCAATAAAATTAAAAAAAAAAAGTTGTCCTAGTATAGTAAAAGATCCTGGGGGAGGTCTTTTATGCATGGGATGGCTCTCAAACTCCCAATGTTTACTTGCACACTTTCTTGCTGCACTGTCTATCCTTTTTGTGTGTGTGTGTGTGTGTGTGCCAAGAATCTACCCAAGGCCTCAGATATGTGAGATGCATGCTTTACCACTGCACTACATTGCTGGTCAACATCTTTATTTTAAATAAAAGTTTTATTTGGGATTTTCTTATTTTCTCTCTCTCTCTCTTTTTTTTTTTTTTGCTTTTTGGGCCACACCCAGTGATGCTTTGGGGTTACTCCTAGCTCTTTATTCATGAATTACTCCTGGTGGTGCTGGGGGACAATATGGGATGCCGGGGATCAAGCCTGGGTCAGCCACGTGCAAGGCAAACACCTTACCCGCTGTACTATCGCTCCGGCCTCCATTACTTGATATTTTCTGATGAATCTTTTCAAATACCCGCACTTGGGAAATTTGGCAATAACAGTTCATAATCATTTCAAGACTGTTGGATTTATTACAAGCTAATTAGCCTAGGGGCTAAAATGACAGTACAGCAGGTAAGGTGCTTGCCGAGCACGTGGTCAACCCCCGGGTTCAATCTCTGGCACCCTACAAGGTCTCTCTAGCGAAGATGCAGAGGAAAATCATCTCTATTCACAACATCCTCTCTGTCCTGGGAAGCCGGAAGTGATCCCTGAGCAGAGTCAGGAGTAAGCTCTGAGCACCTCTGGGTGTGGGCCAAAAACAAAAACAAAATAAACAACTAATTAGCCCAGCAAAGAGAAAAGTACAGGTCAATATAACATACTGATCTGAGTACTTAACCCTAACTTTTCAGGGAACTTGACAAGCACTGAGCTTGGTCGAGTCCCATCCCAGAGACACTTAATACATGGTTGCAAGAGAAGCCATGTATTCTATTATGCATCCAGAATTATCAATTGCTGTGGGTAGCTCCTCATCACTAAGAAGCTCAAGGGAAGATGTGCATGAAATGGGGCGAGGCAGATAGCTTAAAGGGCTGGTACGCATGCTGTGCATGCACGAGGTCTAAGTTCAATCCCCACCACACACCATCCCCTGGGCACTGCTGGGAGCAATCCCCAAACATGCAGCACTGTTCAGGGTGACCCACAGCCCTCAAATAAATACATTTAAGAAGTAAATAAAGAGATGCGGAGGAAATCATCTCCATTCCCACACATCCTCTCTGTCCTGGGAAGCGATCTTCTACTGACAGTTACTCTGAGACAGGGAGTTTTCTGACTGGATTAAATCTATTCAAATCAAAATGATCTTGATGAGCGGATAACAACTCTACTCTAATTCAGCAGAACCCACTTCTCAGCAGTTACCTGTTCAACGATGGATGCCAAGCGCCCCAATGCCAGGCCACACTCATCCCCTCTGGTCACCACAGCACTTCCAAGTTTCACCACTATTCTCTTGGCATGCTTCAGCTCACTGCGGTGGGCAAAAGACTTGCCATGAGCACGACTGAGGGGGACAGTGATAAAGGGGATGTTGCTCCAACAACGGGCATGTCTGATGGCTGATGGCTGGACACGGTCTGGAGCCCCAAAGACAAAGGTAGAAAGACAAAAGAAATACACAAGGTGATTTCTCATTAGAAATGTGCAAGCACAGTATCAACCAGTCTAGCCACCCCCGAAAATAGCTGTATTAATCCTAGCTGTGTGAAACCAGTATATTAAGAGTCATAGCTAGCACACTCTTAGTCGAGCATTATATGGAGTTTGTATCCGGGTCAGCAGTACACTCAAACTCTGCTGGTGAAGGGTGTAAATGAAACAATATTTGCTGTAGATGAGATGTCTACACTGGTGGAGGGATGGGTGTTGGAACACTGTAACTTCGTAACTATTTCACAGTGATTCATTTAAAAATAAATTAATAAAATGAGCTGGCAGAATATGTGAAAGTCCTTAAATTTTTTCCTACCATAGAACAGCAATTTCTATGTTCAGAAATTTATTCTCTAATTAGCGTCCAAAGGCAATAGAAACAAAGAGCCTGACAACTGGTCCTTAGTGGACAGCCAACCAGTTGGGAGGGGAGGGTGGATAGGTCAGGGGAGGGACCACCAGACAGTGATAAAGGGAAGTGATCATCCCGAATCAAGACCAGCTGTTGAAAAGGAGGTAAACTGACATGCATGATACCGTATTAGTACAGTACTGTAAAACCACAGTACCTAAAAAGTGAGGGTGGGGGGAGGAAAAATGAAAAAAATTTTAAAAAGTGTTGGGGAGGTGAGAGAGAAATCAAGGACATTGGTAGAGGGAAGTGGACACTGGTGAAGGGACTGATGTTGGAACACTGTACACCTGAAACTAAATCATGAATAATTTTGTTAGAAAAAAACCCATTCTAAGGAACTAATCAAAGATGAAAACAGATTTATCAGTAGGCTGTTCATATAGGTGTTATTCATGATCAAGAATAGAGTAATTGTCCTAAAAAGGACAGAAAGGAACATCTTTAGACTTTCTGATAACAGAAAAATATTCGTTTGTTTCACTTATGTATATATATCATCTACACAGAAAAAGATGTACAAGATATATTAAAACGTTATTTTATTGCCTGATGGGATTACTGATGATTTTTTTTCTTCTTGTACTTTCTAAACTTATATATTAAGAGTACATTGTTTTCATAATAATAATAACATTGTGCTTTTAAAGAAACCACTATTGGCATGCTTCGTTGACATTTTGGTGGTTTAGAGGACAGCTACCTTTGTATATCAAAACTATGAGTCAAAACAATTGCCACATGATAAACATGTGACCCAAACTAAAATAAATATTTTTTCAAAGTTTACTGAGGAGACAGAGTAGGGAAATGAAGAATACCCTGGATCACTGGTGGAGGGACACATTTAGTGGGGTAGACTTAGGATTGGAGCACTGAATGCATGAAACTCTTGTTACTAAAAACTTTGTAAACTACAGTTACAGTGCTTGGCAGGAAGTGGGAGGGGGGAATGAAGGATGGAAAAAGGAGAAGTTATAGAATCTTGTCTTAAAAGGATTTGGGAGGAGGGTGTTTGGGCCACACCCAGCTGTGCTCAGGGTTTACTCCTGCTTCTGTGCTGAGGGATCACTACTGGGGTCCATATGTAGTACTGGGGATCAAACTAGGGTTGACTGCAAGTGCCTTATCCCCTGAAACTAGTTCTCCAGTCCATAATCTGAAGGATCCAGAGTGATGTATATGTTCCTGTCTTGAGCATATCAATCTCAAGTCCTGAGATTGGGAAAACTGTATAAAGGATATCAGCGATCTCTCTGTATTAGTTTTTACAACTGCAAGTACAACTATAATTATCTCAAAATCAAAGATTCAATTACCAAAAAGAAATGAACAAAAATAGAATGAGAGTCAGAGAGATAGTAGGGCAAATTAGGTAGTTAACTCAAGTTTGATCTCTGCTACTACAAGCTCCATCAGGAATGATCTACCTCTGAGTGGACAGCCAGAAGTTAGCCCTGAACACAACCTGGTGTGGCGCCAAAACAAAACAAAAAAAGCAATTTGTTACCTATTCTCCCCCGCTTTTATTTGTTGCTTATTGCCTATGTTCAATTCTGCCAAATTATTGTTTCTGTGTTTTAAAATTCTGTTTGCAACACACTTGGCCCAAACTTCAAGCATACTTCTAAGTCTCCTATGGTACCTACGAGCTCTGGAGAGAGCTGTAGACTGTATCCGGGGCAGAAGGTTCTGGATGAAGGGCTGGAACCCAGAGCGGCCAACTTGACTCAACATGCTGCTACGCAATAATCAAAGTATCTGAAAAATACATTTTAAGAAAATCTGAATGAGTAGTAGACAAACAACTTAATTTTCCGTTATTTCACCATACTCCCAGAGAAAAACTTGGTCAGTGGGATTCAAATTCCTCTATACTGAGGAAATTCTTACCTTTTCTGTAACTAGAAAGAAAAGTCCCCTTCCTAGGACACAGGTCTACCCTCCCTTTCTTAACAATACCTTAATTTTAATTTTTTAATTTTTGGTTTTCAGGCCACATCTGGTGATGCTTAGGGGTTACGCCTGGCTCTGTGCTCAGGAATTACTCCTGGCAGTGCCTGGGGAACCATATAGGATACCTGGAATTGAACCTGCGTTGGCCACCTGCAAGGGAAGCATCCTACCCACTGTACTATCACTCCACCCCCAAATTACCTTAGATTTTATGTAAGAAAGTGACTATTAAGGATTATGAGCATTATGAGTGGTCAAAAATCCTAAAGTTTAATACTTGTGTACAGATAGTAAATCTTCACTGTAATTCCTACACAACTACGGAGTGTCCAATAGATTGCTAACAAATGCAACTTCAAGAGGAAGTCATTGATAACCAATGAAAATCTTCCAGGTAGCATCTCTCAATAGAACTCTAAACCACACAGTGAAAATATCAGTTTGATCCCCGTAGACACAAGAAGTGGAGGTGAGAGACACAGCAGTGAATCCTGGAAGACAGCAGCTCGCCCGAAATCTCTCCAGACCCCATACGGAGTCAGTTCTACCCAGGCACCTCCAATGAAGCAGGTGTGCCCTCTTTGCCCACTCCAGATGAAACCCCGATGGCCCAGAAGCAAAACCCAGGTATGCGGGTTCAAGAACCAAGACTCCAGGCCACATGGCAACAGCAGAGATTGGCTGACCCTTCCCGCCTCCCTGCCCACTTGGGGTCATGGCCCTCATGCCCACAATATGCCTCTGGGCACTATCTCAGGACATCCATGGCCTTGAACCGGAGACTACCAAGTAAATCTCAAAATGGATTAGCTCCCTACTTACAATTTTAGAATCCAGAAGCACGCAACCTCTCATATTCATATAATAAGCAGTAGAAAATAAATTACCATGGGGTATGGTGCTGCCAGCAGGTCAATCTGTACCTGTAAGGTGAGTGCATCAGCAGCCTGATGGTCCCTTAAGACTTCTGGATACCCCAAACTGCTGCTGTGCCTTTGGCCAGACCCCATCAACTTGGGGCCAAATTTACCAAGAAAGTAAAAGGCCAAATTTAGGTATGTGGGAGGCACACCCAAAAACCACCTCTAGCTCAGCTATATAAAAGCAAGGCCTCTCTGGTTCCTGATCAAATTGCTTAAAGGACATGTTCTCAGAGACTCAGAAACAAATTTTGGAACCCAGCAGCTTTTGGCAGAAATGCGTCCAGTCCCTGCAGTAGGTTAGGTGCAGGGCCACTCTAGGGGGGAAAGGGTGCTGTCCCTCCACATGCTCTCTCTTGGCGGCTCGGTGGCCGCCATCCTCCAGAGGCCACTGGACAGTCAGGTTTGGGCCTGCAGTGACAAGACACATGGGGTCTCATGAGATGGGGTGGAGCCGGCCCTTTCCTTCCCACCCCAACGAGACCCTGAGTCACCGGCCACGATCGGCCTCTCTGGCTCTTGATCAAGCTGCTTAACAGCCATGATCCCAGAGACTCAGGAATAAATCTCAGAACCCAGCAGGTTTTGGCAGAAATCCCTCCAGATTTAATTGTTAAAATTTTGGAATTTCAAAACTGCGCGGCCTGTGGCATTATGAATGATATCATACATTATTTATAATCAGCAAAAGAAAACAAATTGTCTACGATTGCCTTTTCAGCAGATCTAAGTGTTGGGGTTACTGACACTGTCACTGTCCTCCCATTGTTCATCGATTTGCTTGAGTGGGCCCAGTAACATTGTGAGACTTGTTATTGTGTTTGGCATATTGAATACGTCACTGGGAGCTTGCCAGGCTTTGCCGTGCAGGCGAGATACTCTTGGTAGCTTGCCGGGCTCTACGAGAGGGGCAGAGGAATCAAACTCGGGTCAGCTGTGTCTGCCGTGTGCAAGGCAAATGCCCTCCCCGCTGTGCTATCGCTCCAGCCCAGTGCTGGAATAAAATCCCAAATAATAATGGTGGGTCTGGTGTCGAAATATTGAATGTAATAAAAGCAGAGAGAGAGAGTAATGTGGAAATCATCTGCCCCACAGGTAGGGAGAGGGTGTGAGATGGGGGGTATACTGGGGTTTTTGGTGGTGGAAAATGAGCACTGGTGAAGGGACGGTTGTTTCATTGTATGACCGAAACTTAAACCTGAAATCTTTGTAACTGCTTTCATGGTGATTCAATAAATAAATTTATAAAAAGGAAAAAAAAAAAGTAAGGTGGAGTTTATGCCTAATTCAATCAGCCTAATCAATGGATGAATAAATAGCAATACTCCTACATTAAAACAAAAAAATAAAATAATAGTAATAATGGTGATAAAATGATAACAGTACTTTGTTTTAGCATAGAAGCATGCAAGATTAGGCTATAAAATCAATACCCAAAAGTCCATGGCTTTCCTATATGCAAACAGTGAGAGAAAAGAAAGCTACATGAAAAAAACAATCCGGTTCACAATTGTGCCCCAGAAAATCAAGTGCCTAGGAATCAGCTTAACTAAGGAAGTAAAGGACCTGTACAAAGAAAACTACAAAACGCTAGTTCAGGAAATAAAAGAGGACACGAGGAAATGGAAAGATATCTCCTGCTCATGGGTCGGGAGACTTAACATTGTCAAAATGGCAATACTACCGAAAGCATTGTATAAATTCAATGCAATCCCTATAAGGATACCCATGACATTCTTCAAAGAAATGGAGCAAAGACTCCTGAAATTCATGTGGAACAATAAGCCCCCACGAATAGCTAAAGCAGTTCTTGGGAAAAAGCAAATGGGAGGAATCAACCTTCTGAACTTAAAACTCTACTACAAAGCAGTAATAATTAAAATAGCATGGTACTGGAACAAAGGCAGAACTGCAGACCAATGGAACAGGGTTGAATACAGTGACATCTCCCCTCAATCATACGATCATCTAATCTTTGATAAAGGTGCAAGAAATGTGAAGTGGAGTAAGGAAAGCCTCTTTAACAAATTGTGCTGGCATCACTGGACGGCTACATGCAAAAAAAATGGGCTCAGAACTCTGCCTAACACCATGTACAAAAGTAAGATCAAAATGGATTAAAGACCTCAACATCAGACCAGAAACTATAAGGTACATTGAAGACAAAGTTGGCAAAACCCTCCATGACATTGAAGCTAATGGTATCTTCAAAGATGCCATGCCACTGGCCAAGCAAGTGAAAACAGAGATAGATAAATGGGACTATCTTAAACTAAGAAGCTTCTGCACCTCCAAAGAAACAGTGACCAAAATACAAAGACAGTCTACAGAATGGGAAAGGATATTCGCCGAATACACATCTGACAAGGGGTTGATATCAAGGATATACAAAATACTGGTTGAACTCCACAAGAAGAAAACATCCAACCCCATCAAAAAATGGGGCAATGAAATGAACAGAAACTTTCTAAAAAAAAAAAATCCGAATGGCAAAAAAGCACATGAGAAAATGCTCTACATCATTAATCATCAGGGAGATGCAGATCAAAACCACAATGAGATACCATCTCACACCTCAGAGACTGGCCCACATTCAAAAGAACAAAAGCAACTGTTGCTGGCGTGGATGTGGCGAGAAAGGGACACTCCTTCACTGTTGGTGGGAATGTCGACTGGTTCAGCCCTTCTGGAAAACAGTATGGACGATTCTCAAAAAATTAGAAATTGAGCTCCCATTTGACCCAGCAATACCACTCCTGGGAATATATCTCAGAGAGGCAAAAATGTATAGTCAAAGTGACATCTGCACTTGTTTGTTCATTGCAGCACTCTTTACAATAGCCAGAAACTGGAAGAAACCTGAGTGCCCAAGAACAGATGACTGGTTAAAGAAACTTTGGTACATCTACACAATGGAGTACTATGTAGCTGTTAGAAAAGATGAAGTCATGAAATTTACATACAAGTGGTACAACATGGAAAGTATCATGCTAAGTGAAATGAGTCAGAAAGAGAGGGATAGACACAGAAAGATTGCATTCATCTGGGGGATATAAAGTAACAAAATATGAGATTAATACCCAAGAATAGCTGAGATCAGTACCAGGAGGATTACTCCATAGCTTAGAGGCCAGCCGGGCATTCTAGGAGAAAGGGCAGCTCAGATAGAGAAGGGAGCACCAAATAAAGGGTGTTTGGAGGATCCTCCTAGAAGGGGAGATGCATGTTGAAAGTAGACTATGGACTGAACATGTTTGCCACTCAATGCCTCTTTTGCAGACCACAACACCCAAAAGGAGAGAGAGAACACAAGGGATTGCCCTGCCACAGAGGCAGGGGGGGATGGGGGGATGGGGGTGGGGGGGATATTATCCATGGTGGTGGAAAATGGGCACTGGTGCAGGGATGGGTATTTGATCATTGTATAATCGAAACCCAAGCACAAAAAATTGTAAATCTACAACTGTATCTCATGGTGTTTCACTAATAAAAAAAAAAGGAAAAAAAATACATTTACCACACACATATATATACACACACATATATGTAGATATATAACGATATTAACTCTGCTTTTGTTAGAACCTTTGAAGAACATCAAACTAATGTTTCCTGGAAAAATGTTTATTACTATCAACCATGTAATTTTTTTATCTAGAAGTATATTTGACAACAATGTATGTATTTAAGTAGACAATTTGATATAAATTTGCAATGTAAAATAATAAACATTTTCAAACTAAAAAAAAAAGAAGCATGCAAGATTATTTTGAAATATAAAATACAAAATAGAAATAAAAAAAAAGAAATTACCTAGCATGTGCCCTTGGCAGGCAGGCTTGAATGGTGGTGGAAAAATTCAAAATAATGGTAGTGGAAAGGGTA